CAGACTGCGTTGGGGGGTGGCCACAGAAGGCAGCTTTAAACTTGACCTACATTTCCCGGGTGACATGCCACATCGCATTAGCCCACTCGACCAGGGCTGGACCCGCTGGAGATCGCAGACACTGGCCCACTTTGATAATATAAAAAAAGTGGGGGTGCTCGGTTCTTCCCAAGTGGGGGGCTGTCATGTGTAACTGTGACCCCTGATACTACTATAACTACACAGCTGACTCAAATAGCTTAAGGATATACGAGGGAAGGGGGGTGGATCTGTCATGTGGTTGTGGGGTGAAGTAGATAGCCACGCCCCTATCGCTGGGTAAACATCAAGTTCACCTCCAAGTGCAAACCGTCATGAAATCCTACCGATATTAGATATGCCATCAGCTGGAGTGGTTTAAAATATCTTTTTTAACAAGTTGTCCAGTTATTTAGCATCTAGGTGCGATGTGTCACTAGGAGAAGAGGGAAAGCAGATCAGAGCGGGGATGAAAGGGGGCGCGCCTCGATCCACGCATAAGCTCTTCTCTTTGGACAGCACCTGATCAAAGTTGGAAACCATGGCAACAGGCACATACAACAAGAGTCAGCTAAAATGCAGGCTTCACTGAACTAAAGAGCAATGCAGAGACGTTAAGAGCAATACTTCAAGACTCGATACCAGCAGAAATAAAAACACTGACTGTGCAGTAAAATCATGATTTAAACATTCTCAACATAAGATTGAGTGTGGAGCTACACAGTCAACAAAATACTATCGGAATAACTGAAATAACAGTGAGAGCATCTTCTAGATAAATAAAACTACAAAAATTCCACAAGAAAATCTGGAAGAAAAGGGATAACTGGAGAATTCACTTCAACCGAATTTAGAACTGTGTCAAATTTGTGCAATATTAACACCCGAAGTATCTTCCAGTTGTCAATATAACCAAAATCCCTCTGACCGATTAAAATCAAATAAAATGTCTCTTAATACAAGTTTCCTGAACATAAATTTACCCAAACTTTTAATTTTCATTTCATTTTAACAAAATATTTTTTTTTTGCCCTCTGTACTCCAAAGCACATTAATTTACTCTGAGGATTGCCTGTAGACCTCTGGATTAAGCACCAAACTGATCACTGACTATTAACTGACTCTCAATCTCAATCTTGGTCAAAATTTGATTAACTGCACAGTGCTACGTTATACATTATCTCCAAATGTCATAAGCATCTTTAGAGCTGCCATGTGGTTTGACTTTGCCCCAGTTGGAACACTTTGCCTGGAGTGTCCGTGCCCTGCCCTTGAGGGTCCTCTACAGTGGTCCCAGGATGTGTACGGAAAGTCATTAAGGAGGACGTGTTGACTCACTTCCGTCAGTCCAAGCGGCACACATCTCAGGGGACATCTGCCTCCCAAACCCATTTCTCCTGTACTAAACCAGCTCCACACCGCCATCACTCCACTGACCTTCTGACTGACACGCCCACTTCAGAACATTTGGTACATAACATTGCCCAGGTGGTCGCTAACCTAAATTTAAAAACCTGTTACAATTATGAGCTTGGTTTACTACAGCATTTTATTTCTTCTTGGCAAGATTTAGGCAAACATAATTTTGGGTGGGGCTCAGCGCAGATTTTGGAAGGATGAGTGTCACATTGAGAGGAGCAGCATGTCCACTGTATTCTGTGAGGGAGGAGTGCCATCTGCTGGATATAAATGGTAGAACATTTAATAGGCGAGTAGCGACGACCACTCCCAAACTCCTATCCTTATTTAGTGACAGGCTTAACAATGTTGAAGTAAAGGGAATATTATACAAAGATGGCATTAAGCATAATTAATATTTTAGCTACTTTGATTATGAAGTGGGACATATCTTGTGTAACTGCAATATTTTACAATTATCACATTTTGAACTGTTACAATACCCAAAAAGCTGCAATTTATGTCAACAAAATATATCTACACTCCATCTGGTCCTATAAAATCTGCCAGCCTCATAGTTTAAAACACTATAAACATATTCAGAAATGCGGGAGATTCTTATTAGTTTCCATTTCAGTCAGTATTCTCCAAGTATGGAAACTATGCACTGTGAACTGAATGTTGAGATAAAAATATAAATAACACATCTAGTCACAATTGCCATCAGAAATGATTAGATCTTTCCCCAAAATTGCTCAGTCCTAATTGAAAGGACCAGAGCCAAAACAAGCAAGCTGCTAGCTCACACATCAATGGGCAATTTAACGACATGTATAATGAAGATGAGTAGTTGTTTAGGGGCTTGGTGAGCAATATCCAAGACGCAATATATAGCCATTCTGCAATAATGAGATTTTAGAATGAATTACAAAAGATGGTTGAACAATAATAATAATGAAAATATTGCCTAATAAGGAATACATTTCTGCATATTAACATAATTTGTAAAGCCTTAGTATCATCCACTAAACAAGAGCACCACCCAGTGTCCACATGCAGTCATTACCCATACAAAGTAGTTATTGACTGTTGGGTCAGTTATGAGTTATTTTTACATTTCTACATAAATTCGACATTGTCACACATGTCACACATACAAACATGACTGTGGTTCAGCACAATCCTTACAGAACCTGGGCAGGAAGTACCACTGTGTAGCGCCGCCAGCTCCATAAATAATGGATGAGGGGAGAAGAGCAGGGAGCTGTTAGCTAGCATAACAAACCACTCCACATATCACCAGACTTATCAGCTCATGTTTCCCTTTTGGTGCTGGGGAGGAGGATCCAAGGCGTCTCCCATATGCTCTGCCATACAAGGAAAATTTACAAAGGTCCCATATTAAGCAAAATTGACACTTGTAAGCTTTAAGCCATGTTATAATGTTGTTACCTTCTCGAAAACATACCTAGATTTGTATTTTGTTCCATTCATACGTGTATGAATCACCCTTTATTATTAGTCTGTCTACATATCCAAAGATGAAAATGCTCTGATCCACCTTGCAATGATGATGTGAAGCGGTAGCTTTCATTTTAACAACTACCTTTTACCATTTGCTTTGAAGAGTTTGGCAATTTCACATCTTAACTCATACAAACGAATCTAGTGAAGATGTGTGGAGCTTAAAAACCCAGTGGAGCACTTCCCGTACTACGACATATATGACATCACAAGGTGGAACAGGGAATTTTCTGTTTGAGAGAAGAACTCCTTAATATGTAGGGTTTGTGTGAATGAGACAAAACAAGTCCAGGCATGTTTCTGATGAGGAAACAACATAACAGAGCATAACAGAGCAGGGGTCTCCAACCTGTAGCCCGGGAGCTACCAGCAGCTCTCTACTCCCTTACAAGTAGCTCGCCAGAGGATTTCTGGATTATACGTATTGTACTAAATAAGTCAAATTTGATTAATTACCACTGTAAATGTGTTGTTTTGAACTTTGTGCACTAATTAATGGATAATGGCTTAATGTTTTATAGGCATCTAACTGCACAACACCTAAGGCTTGCCCTCTTTTATCAACTCAAACACAGAGCATAACACAGAGCATAACACAGAGCATAACACAGAGCATAACACAGAGCATAACACAGAGCATAACACAGAGCATAACACAGAGCATAACACAGAGCATAACACAGAGCATAACACAGAGCATAACACAGTGTAATGTGGGTCTTTTAAAATAGAGCTAGATAATATGTCTTAATTGGCAATAAAAATTGGTGTAACATTTTTAATAAATTAACAATAGACATGTTTATACCATACTGTGGAAGACTGAGCAAATAACATTTTCATGAGACAAGCAGGTGACAGACCCTCTGCCAGAAAATGTAGTACTACTTTGGATTAAATGTAAAAATGGTAGTGCCTTTTTAACCCAGTAGAGGGAGATGTTCACTCAGGTTTAGTCATGGCAACAGGCAGCCCTAAAAAAGCATTTCCCTAGGCTCCTGCCACACCTCCCTTTGGCTAAATGCGAATGATCCAGCCTCTTAAGTTTGTACAAAACACTGCATGCATCAACTGTCCATTTACAATGCATGTCCATTCTTCTCTTGTGCCAGCAGAAATGGCACTCCGAAAGGGCAAGAGTACTACTTCCACTTTTAACAGACATCATCAATATTGGCATGTAGCACATGAGACATCTACCAGTCATATGATGACAATGTGTCATGGCAACCGTATCCAAGCAGACAAGGATGTAATAAACCAGAGCTGGGTGGAAAGGGCAGCAGACATAGGATATAACCCATAACCTCACACACAAGAGAAATGAAATCACAATGCTGGTGTGTGGTATCCTTGTTGGCTAAACTGGACACTGACCTTAAAGCATACCCTTACATAAAGACTGTGGCCTTGGGAACAGGAAGAACCTACATTACTCAACCCCCTCGATGTCTCACAATGTAGTTCATTTCCTGCACTAGAGTAGCACATACACCCAAAGCACAGTGCATTTATAATAGGTAGTGCGCTGAGGGGAACAGCAAAATGGCATGCATCTACTGGGGCAGAAACTACATCAAATACAAAGATCAGTGCACACTGAAACCTGATTTGATTAGATTCCACCACATTTAAATATATTGAATCTTTGATGATCTAGAATATTAAATAATTCCTAGTAAATTGTATAAGTAGTTAGTGTTGATAACAACTGTAGAGCTAAACAGCTGATAGCCATTTGTATTGTAAAAGTAAAATAAAAATTAAAAAATTAAAAATAAAATTGGCTCACACAAGAGCAATCATCAAAATGCATTCATCCAAAACTAATTGTGGAATTGCATTTGTCTAACAATGAACACAGAATAAGGTTCTTAAGCTAAGCCCCGTAGTGTTGTAATAAAAAAACAAAAAAAATATGGCTGTAATTGGGTCACTTTCATTTAAAAAGTGGAAAGCGGCACAAACATGGCGATGTGCAATGAAACACCTGCTTCATCCCATCATCAGACAGTACAATTTAAATGTAGTACCAAGATGTAGTGAGATGTGTAACTTACGAACAATGAGCTGTGCGTCTGTCGGAGAGGAGCAGCCAGGCCTGGGCGGGAGCTGGCCCCGGTCACAGTCCCCCAGCAGAGGTCAGCCTCTGGAGCACACAGAACACCACAGGTGACATTTAGCAGCAGAATGCAAAACATGATGTACAAGTTAGTTTCTTTGCACATTCAAATAGGAATTATCTACTGATCAAATAAGGCACTAATGAATAACCATAACTAGGGGTGTGCAAAAATATAGAAATATCGTATCGTTTAAAGTGATGATACAGTATCGATACAGTGAGCTGCTGTTTCGATATATATATCGCCAAGTGTATTTTTCCATATATTTTTCTAAATTTTTTGGTACAGCGCTAGAGTTTTGTTGCTCGTTTCGTTGCTTGTTTCGTGAAAGGAAACTCATTTATGCGACACATTTGACATTTTCACTGTTTTGAGGATTAAAATGTTTGTGTTTCATATGAACTCTGCACAAGAAGTGGTTTAACAAAGACTTAGTATCACAGACATGATTTTGATTTTTTATTGAACCATATCAAATCAATTTGAAATGTATCATACTGAATTGTATCGAAATCGAAAGCTCACTGTATCGAGATATACATCGCATCATGGCCTATGTATCGAGGAACTCATCGTATCGGCAACTTCTGAATGATACCCAGCCCTAACCATAACATTTAAAAATTGACCTGAAAAGTTTCCTAAAAACTAAATTTTGCACAAAGTTTTATTATACCAATACTCATACTCATGGCAATCTATAGAAAACACAGCCTACAATACTGATAATGAAATACCAAATTTAGGACATTTCTATCATATTGCAATTTATCATGAGTGACTATTCTGTAAGAGAGAAGTTTAATTGCAAAAAAGCTAACAAAATAACCCAATACCAACATTACACAAGCTGACTAAAAGCAGGTCACACCCTGGACCCGATGGGCCTGCAATAATGATTTCATCCACAAATTGCACAAAGTGGAACATTACTGAAGAAACACCACACCATATTGACTGTGGTCTGTTTTCAGGCTTGTGTTGCTATCAGCGCTTTAATAAAAGTTGGAACAAAAAGGCGGCATTACAAACTGCCCACTTCCCATTGTGCAACACTTCCTCTGATTCAGTTCAGCTTTTCTGCACAGCTCCCTGCTTCCTCCAGGCCCACCTCAGACATTCACCTCACGTTCGGCCGCTCAAGCTCCAATTGAAACGTGGCAATAACCTTTTCTTACTCCACGAGGCTCTGTTTAACTTTTAATATCATCTATACAAGGCCAGTTCAAAGGTTAACCAGGCTTCCGCTATATCAGATCCCAGACATTTCTCCTTTTCACCAGTGGCATACAAATGTAGAGTCAGTCAAGCATGAATGTGATCAGACTCAGAACTCTTAAGGACTGTGAAAGGAAAGAAAAGAGTAAAATAAAAACCTATGCACGATACATTATATTATCAGCAATAATCATAAGGCATCAATTAAATGTTAAAATTATCTAAAGTTTAAAAAGTGCACTATGTAACTTTTCAGGTGGATGATTGTGATGCTAACTGTGGACACTGCTCTGTCTGAAGCCATGTTATTCAAATTAGTTTATCTGGCTAATCTACTTTTTAGTTAATCTGATCTTAGTTTGAATTGAATCTAAGCATAAATAAATGAGTTAGTTGGAAACACAACCGGTAAGCTGATTTGTGCTATTAAACAAAGAATTTATCACACAAAGAATTGGTCACAAGCTGGGTGGCATTAACCAGCAGTTTTTTTTCAATTAGTCAGCCTTTTTGTTGAAAATCAAACACCTACACCCACGAACACTGGTATTGATCACAGGCTCCTGAAAATGTGTTGTTTAAATCTATTTTGTTTTGTTTTGTTTTTTTTATGTCTTGAGTTTTAAGATTATCTTAAATACATTTTTTTTTACAGCGTTTGCTAATGTGTACATTGTCATTGCCATGGTAATTCCTGAAAATTCCAGCATAGATATACATGTATACACTCCCAGCGTGATGCCAGTGATGTCTTGTTGTGTCCAATTATCATTTGCTCTCTACTTTTAGTTTTTTGGCATAATTTTCAGTTTTCTCAGAATTCAAACAGCTCTGAGGAGGTGCAGAATGCTTGGATGAGTTGAAGACGGGATGTTGCAATAGTCTTGCTAGTTTCTTCTCTCACACACAGAGGGCAGTGGGTAAGTGAATCGTGTTGACAGGTCACAGGAGACGGGCTGTGGGTGACATCTGTGGAGCCCGCTCTGCATCACTACAGCTGGGGGCCAAACACAGGGCCAAATGATCTCATGAATACTGTAGCTGCATGAGGTTTGGCAGAGCGCGTTACACATAGACCACGACAAGACTTCTCCAGTGACTCACAGCCTGCACAGTGAGGTCTGCTGGCAGTTTAAAAGGCCATTTTCTGATCTATGTTATGTTATTTCCTCATCACATATAGGGGAGTGTTTAGTTTCTTTCACATTTAAACACTCAAATCCTTCATACTTAAGCCCAGTTCTCCATTCAAACTGAAAACTCTTTGTTCTACTTTGTGATGTCATGCAGTAATACAGGAAGTACTTTTTAAACGTTTTTAAGCTCTGTACACCTTCAGCGCAAACATTGGGCAATTCCAGGGCTGAAATTATCAATTTTCAGCAGAACTAAATGTAAAAAGGTAGCTGTAGAAAATTACCACTATATGACATCACAAGGAATCATCTGTGGATTTTGAGCTTTGGAGATGTGTGTGTACATGTGTAATATAGGACCTTCAACACAGACAGGAGAGGTAAAAATACTGATAAAATCAGCAATGGATGATTAACCATTTTAGGTGAGGAATTTATAGGAATTAAGACTGGAATGTGCAAATAATAATGCAAATACTTATTGAGACAAAGGGCAATTGTCACAAATAAATGATCAGTTTCAACGTTCTTTCACTTAGTCACATCAAATGCTCATAAGAAATATAGAAACTGAGCATAGTGTCAATAATCCATTTATCTGAAGCTAAATGTTGGTTGCATTTGCACGAAAGAGTAAATGTGCCATAAAGGTCAACATGATAAAAATAACTTAGTGGCGTGGTTAAAAGTCAGTCACAACATCATCCAGGGATACATTTGGATACCACAATTCCACATTGTGATACATCTGTTCCGCAATCTGGACTGTATCATACCTTAAAATGACTCTTCACCCGAGGGCCGCCATGACAGATGACCTCAGGGTGATATCACTTACTTTGTGTTAGTGATTTAAGGCTGCTGGTTCCCTGGAGCCATGCAAGCTAATGCGCTAACAGCTGACCTCACTATGGTTTCCCTATGGGGGGTCTTTACATTGACAGTCACATGATGTCACGGCCAATTGCAGACCAATCTACACTGGATCCTCAAACGTGCTCAAACATCTTCCGTAACATCTTGGCACTGGTTATCCCCACGTGATTAGAGGCAATAAAAAGTTAGTTTCTTTCTCAGCATTGCAAAGTCAGCCTTAAGTCACTTCCTGTTGAGTCATACAATGGGATTCTTCCTATGTATTTTTTAAGGAGGCAACTAAAGTGAAACTAGTGTAGTCAACTAAAATTCTTGGTTGACTAAGACATGTCCTACCAAATGATTACTAGACTAAAAAGGGGGCGTGGCAAAAGCTCTCCAAACTATTACTTATCTCTGTACCTGAACCAAACTGCACTCAAAACACTACACCTTCATGAAAATTCACAACTATTTATTCAGTGTATTTATATAAAGACAGATTAAACTTTTTACATACCAAAAAAAAAAAACACAAATCTTCGCCTAACTCACTCATCAACTTCTTTCTGCTGTTGTCCCAAATCCTTATGATCTAAATAAAAATAATGAGTTGACTAAGACAATATGACTAAAGACTTATAACCCTAAGAGCAACATATAGGGACAACCTGCTAAAAATAAAGCCAATTTGGTATTGTGAAGACATTATTTTTTATTCTGCCCTCCAAAAGAAAAGGTTAATGTATGCATCAACATGTCCAGGCTTGTTTGACTGTACATCACCTCTGGATAATCAATGGTCTCTAAATAAAGATGTTTTGCATAGTCACACAGGGTAGTTAACAATAGCACACCGGCGTTACTGTTAGAATAACAAATGTACTGCCTTGGGCCTCACCCGTCAGACTATATAGAACTCAGGCAGAGTAACGTATGTCCAAATGGCGCCTTCTACCTCCTCTGTTAAGGCTGAATGATTTGGAGAAAATATTAAATTTGTGTATTTTAATTATTTATTTAATTGGCATTGGGATTACTGACTTGACTGGACTTGCGATTCAAAGTTTATATCTTAAACAGGTTCGGGAGAATTGACAAAAAGGCTGAAATGGACCCAAGAACTGACTAACAAATACAAAAATCAAATGTATTTCAGACATGTTTGTGTAGATCTAAATGACAGGGATAACAGACCAAGTATTATGAAGAAAAATTACAGCTTTTGCAATTTGCCAATTGTGTCCATACAAATTGTGATTTTGGTTGGATTGGGATTCATTTTGCAGCCTTACTCTCCATGCTTCATGCATACCAACAAGACAAAGTTTTATGTACTTTGGGGTAAATCTGTTTTTGTTTTTAACAGATTTTTTGATTCCCACATATACTAGCAAAGCCCATCAGACCACATTCCACTATGGAAACATGCTCTATACTTCCAGGCAATCCATGTGAAAGACACTGGGATCTATCCTGCCAATCTTATCTAGATTTGTAATGTCACTTTGTTTTCCATGACTGCTGCGTTCAACCATGGAGAAGAACATCATAAAAGTGGGAAGATATAATGTGTATTTAAATCAGGTCAAAGTTTAAGGTCTGTGGCAGTTATCAGCGATACTCACTGTAAATGCACAGTTAATGAATGATTATAACCAGCAATAAAAGACTGTACATTTTGGAGCACTACTGTACTGTGTAATGTACACGTCTTGAACAATGAAAGCTGTAACTTTGCCAACTTCTTACATTTCTTTTTATTCATAAACCCTAAAAAAATAAATGCACTCCATTTTGACAGTCCACTCCTACATTACATAAAATAAAGTGATCCTTATTTAATAGGACTGAATTCCAGCCGGGTTTTACGTGGTGGTTTTAACACTTAGCAGAGCTGGAGGAATGTTTGGTGCGGGGGATGAATGCATGGCAACCGTTTCATGTAAAATGTGAATTTCTAACACGCTGATTCTCCATCTGTGGTGACACCCCGCTCCATAGTGTCCAGTGACACGTGGGCGGTCCCAGAACAGGCTCGTGGTCACTGCTTCAATGTATAGCACACATCATTCATTAGATCAAAATACTGCTAGGATTTTGTTCACAGTAGCAGGTGATGGAGCGTTATTTAGTGCATGACTAGACATATGGCCAATTTTGTATCCAGAATAAGGAACGGGTGAAGCAGAAATAGAGATGGTTTCTTTAATAATTGCGTCGAGCATTGCGTACAAGAGTGGGAATTATTAGAAGTTCAGGTAGTTTCATAGGATTGATTTAAGGTGTGTATATTGTTTTGTGCATGCGCAATATTGCCAATGTCATGAGCATATCAACTTACAAATCATCATGGACTTACGCTACATGAAATGATTAGTTCATTAGTCTCCAAAATACCAAAGACAGACAACAGCAAGCTAAACCATCCACAATCCTTAAGGTCTTTAAGAGAATCTCTAGTTGCCTGCCATGTAAATCACTTTAAATTTGACAACTTAGACAGGTCAGAGAACTAGAGCATTAGAGACCAGCCACAGATAAAATTACAAAAAACCCCAAAAAACTATACTGTAAGTCTGTACTTCTCTAGTCAGTATACATTATGTACAGTGTAATCCTGCTGACTTTAGTTGTCCTCTCCACTCTGGTGTTATGTGAACTCTGATCCAAGCCTGGAGGGGTTTTGGGGATATCTGAGTAAAAAGGTGTGGGGGTAGGGGCCCGCTCTGTCACAGCATTTTCCCTTTTCAGGAGCTGGTGTTATTTATAGTCCTTTGCGAGGTGTTTCTATGCAAACTCCATTTCGGTGTTTACTGTAAAGATGCTAAGGCACAATGGGAGCATCCTGATGGAGCTCTTTGGCTGGCCCCTGCAGTCAAGGATACGGCTCTCCTCTCCACTCATTAAGTGCCGCTCAGGGCTCCAGATAAGCCAGACTTCATAAAACCAGAGCAGAGAGAGTGAGTGCAGAGGAATGCTTCAATCTAGACTGGCACTTAACTGACTGCTGAATATCAGAAGTGTAGTGCTCCCAGGGCCCAAGGCTATGAAAACAAATCGCCAAAATACAGACTCTGTGCTTGAGATCAACAAGCTATTTGAAAACACCCAAGACCCAAGCAGTAGGGCAGTGTAATACAGTTTAGTTAGCACCAAAAGTACAAGATTACCAAAGCTGATTACATTTCTACATTGAGCCTTTTCAGTATTAGGAAGTACATTTTTAGGACTAAAACAGACAACCTTGTATACTCAACTGCAATACCAAATTAGTTAACACATTACATTAACTACATCTAAATCAGCCTTAAAGTGATAGTATGCAACTTTCTCTGGTTGGAAAGTCAAAGTGATTTCATGGAAATAGAAAGTTAAAACTATATTTCGGAACATTCTCCATGGAGATAAGCCACACTGCAGAATATTAAAGCTAAAGGAACATTTTTTCTAGTCAAATTTGCGGAGATTAGTCCTTACTATGAGTGGGGTTTTCTATATCCGAACATTAACGTGTCATTAAGTAGTTACTAAGCCCGAATCATTCTTGATAAACTATTGGACCATTATGAATAAAGTCTTTATTCATGCTTTATTCGGGATAATTAAAAGGTGTAGTCATTATGAGAGGGACCCAAATGGTAAACACTTTATATTTACTTAAAATATCCAATGCTTAGTCGGTCCACCATAATCCACCAAGATCATATAAATATGGTCCATGAAAGCCCTACTTCTAAAAGCCACTAGTAACAAAGTCAACAGAACTGCTAGAGGGGCCAGAGTCAGACTTTCCCTGTAGCTCACACTGTCATCATTTCTACTCAGATCTGTCATGGGCAAGAGCGGACATGCCATAGAAATGAATGGAAGGAGGGGACTGCAGAGTGAAAGTTAACCTTTGCTATTCCAGTGGTCAATAATATTTTTTTTCTAAAGAACTTGTAACAGCCAGAAAACACCAAAAATCACACAATCTAACATATTTTTTGTTCTACATGCAGCCTGCAAACTCTCCAATACACTTCTGAGGTCAAAAGGCGTATCATGGCAGTGGTGCAAGCTGCTGAACAGGACAAAATAGCTTAAAGAGGAAGTTAATACGAATGCACAAACAGCATTAAAGTGCGCCATGGCAAAGAAAATCAATAAAAGTGTTCTGCCCTGCGTAGACCATTCAATAGCACCTGGCCAGTTGCCTTTACCACGTGATACCACTGTAAACTCAATGCACAACTTCTCTGCAAGAATGGAGCTCCAGGGGTTGGTATAACTGCAACACATGTCAAGGAAACACCACTAGATGATACTGTAATGTGGTTACATTTGAAATGCTATAAATGCCTATCCTGTCAGCAGGAGATGAAAGAGCCCCATAGTGAGAATAACTGGAGCAGTGAGTATGAGGGCAGAAGCAGATGACTCTGGGGTGTGTTCTGTGCAGCCCCTCACCAAACATGTTGACTTTAAATTATGCTTAATAGCCTCCTCAAAGAATGGAAAGAGCCAAGTATTGTTGAGGAATCCTACAAGTACTGTCCTCAGTTTACCTCTGTCTGGAAAACTATTAATAATTTAAATCTGCTACTGTATATTGCACTTGTTGGCATTGTGTTCAGTTGTAATGTCCAGATGCTCAGGCTTGAAAACAGATCTGCAAGCAGTGATTTAAAATTCTATTCATATGTTTTGCACTTATGACCAAGCTTTGACTTTGCTATCATAAATTATTTGCAGAGACACATTACTTTGGATTTCCATCAAAGACAACTTGTTTTTCTTATTATAGTATTTGAGCTAAATGGAATAACACATAAAAGCTTAAGACAACCAACTACTCCATGCTATGAATACAAGACATGGCACAACAAGTCACACCATGTCTGTCAGTGCTGCAAAGCATGTCTCATCCACTCCTGTATTTTTATGCTTTACTCAGCTATGACAATAAGATAACTTTAATTTATAATAAGTCTACATGTGTAGCCCTTTGGTTAGTACATTCTGAGTCAAAGGAAGTACCAGGTTCATCAATGTGGTTTGGCTGCAAGGTGACACTGCATATTTTCCGACATACAGTTCAATCTATCAATTCAAATGTGTTATAACAATAAGGGTCAGATGCATACAATTAAAATGCCAGACAAGATTCTCATCAGTCTCACATCACATTGGCCACAAGTATTTACCCAGAGTACCATGAAAAAGTGTCTTACTGGACGTTTCGCTTCCACTTTCGGGGACCTTTGCAGAGACTGAGTAGAGAGGAAATAACAGACTTCCGTGCTGGCCTGACAGCTGAAGCAAACAAGAAAATGAGAACAAAGTACACTTAGCAACTTTAAATGAAAAGTTTACCAGACATGCATCAACAATTCATGTGAATTACAGAGAAGATTCAGAAGATTAAGTCTGGACAGAATATTTTTAAATGCCTCTTTTTACAGTAAGGTCTTTAATATGGAATATTTCCATTGTACTGGATTATGACTGATTGATATTCATTTCCTACAAGGTTACATTAGAAATAATTAAGTTAAATCTACTTTGGTACTGCGGGGAAGCATTTGCAGTACAAGCTTGTATATCAAAGTCCAATTATTTGATATGACCCATTTGGAAGCTTGCATTGATCCGATTGTTAATCACATGTGCGCGCATACAAATGAGCTGGAGGCTGTTCCCCGCTGTCAGGGTGTGCATTTCCTTTGATGGTGCTGCTGCCTTTGCATCACTCATTTAGTGCCTTAAAAAGGGCAGTCCAATCCGCGCACACACGTCTCATTTGGAGCAGCACAGATTAACGGGCTTTATAGTGTAACATACAGGAGGAGAGCAAGCTAATAACCTGGCATTAGAGAAATATGGGTCAGGCACGCTACATTCACTGCCTCTGGCTAAAAGAAGGGAAAATGTATGTAGCTCGCAGTGTCGCCAGGGTTGCTCTTTGGAAAGGGGAAGTGGATGGTAAGCCACATTGATGATGTGACTTTCTTCATCTCCTGATATAAAACACTGTTAAGTACGGGCGAGGTTAAATAGTAACTTAACGGACGAGATGTGAGCTTCATTTGAGAGGATCCATTCATGAAACCTAATTATTCCTACCTCCCCAGAACTACAGTATACTACAGTAAAATAAATCAGGCTAACAAACAAGCTGTGGACAGTCACATCGATTGATCAGATTCGCCTTTATAACCCTAATCGATGACTATCTTAAAAGTCTTACCTTGATGCTCGTAGAGAAACACGGCTCTCGTCTGGATACCACGCTAGAAGCCAGCGGCACAGGCTCAAAGAAGAAAAAAGCGATTTGCTGCCGCTGTTTCCGGGTTGGGCTCTGAGCGTCATCTGGGCCGTCAAAGCGAAGAAGGGGGCTCGCTTTGTTCCACCTCTAAACGCGAAGGGCGGGGATACATAACAGTGCACAGTTGAGTTGGCTTAGCGCCGCCCGCCTGAGAGATGCGGGTGATCTTTTCTTGTTGGTACTGTTGATAATGTTGATGTTAATTTTGGTTAAGAAGCAGTCTTTTAACGATTAATATTAGTGTAGGGTTTTACTTTTTGAAAACCGCATTAAAATGCAAAATTCCAATAGAACTGACTTGTAAACCAGGCTAGACCGTTAAAATACAAACCAAACCCAAGCTGCAGAGGGTGCTGTTGTTGCTTAACAAATTGTATTATTATGATTGTAAATAATGTTTGTAGCAAGGCAAGCAGCAACCCAGCAATAATTACGGCACTGTGTAAGAAGCCATGCTTTACATACATGCTAGCCTGTACAGGAACTGTATGAAACAAAACACATCAGTGTGCTATTACAGTAATAGGACATTGATGTTTTTTGTTTACTCATTAGGCTGCTTTATTTATGTATGTATTTATTTATTTATTTACTTACTCGTTTGTTTGTCACTACAAATAGTTCTTAGTCCTTCTCATTCATCATTACCTTTAATGCTTTAATGCTACTTCTTCACTGAGGCCATGGCAGATGCTCTTTAGTTTATTCCTCATATGAAGTTACTGCATCTGAGCCATAGATCTGTCAGCACCACTATCATCTTGCTCAGACTTAAGGTGGTCCAAGGGCTTTCATCTCCAAACACACCTGGGAGTAATTTGAGACCACTGTGCAACCTGTAGGTCCTAGTAGCAGCGTACAACTGAGGACAATCAAATGTAGACCCTTTATAATCTGAAACTCAATTATATCAGGCTGTTGTCTTTCAAAATGATCAGTTAATGGTAGATTTCCTCTATCTGGCTTATTTGCTGCACCCCCATGTCCCATCTCTAATCAACCAGTAGCTGCCAATCAATCCTGATTAATCTGCACACCAGGCTTTGATTGCATGGCCCATACAAAACCAGCTCAGAAACCTCCTGGTGAATTTGACTTGAGACTGTTGATGTGTGCACAAGTTTAGAACAACTTAAGCCTACACCAGTATCTGTTTCAGAATCAAGCCAATTTGTTACTATGGGTAAGGAGAAGACTCATGTGAATGTTGTCATCATTGGCCATGTGGACAGCGGTAAATCCACCACCACAGGGCACTTGGTCTACAAGTGCGGTGGGATTGATCAGAGAAAACTGGAGAAGTTTGAGAAGGCTGCAGCACAGGTAAGCATAAGGCCAGTCATTACCATGATGTTATTTTAAAAGAATTTTTAAGAATTTTTATTTTTTTTTTAAAGAATTTTTCTCCCAACAGGCAGGAAAGAGTTCTTTCAAATTTGCTTGGGTTTTAGACAAACTAAAAGCTGAGCGGGAGAGGGGAATAACCATTGATATCTCACTGCTGAAATTCAACACTCAAAAGTACTCCATGACCATAATTGATGCTCCTGGACACCGGGATTTCATCAAAAACATGATAACTGGAACATCACAGGTAAGTAACTAAGCACATAAGTTTCACCTGTGGAAGTCAGTTTTATTTACTGAACTAATTGTTTCAGGCTGATGTTGCACTCTTGGTGGTCTCTGCTGCAAAAGGAGAGTTAGAGGCAGGTGTATCTAGAAGTGGTCAGACCAGAGAACACGCTTTACTGGCCTACACACTGGGAGTGAAGCAGATCATTGTCTGTGTGAATAAGATGGACCTGACTGAACCTCCATACAGCCAGAAGCGCTACGACGAGGTGGTCCGAGGGGTGAGTGGCTTCCTAAAAAAGATCGGCTATGACACTGCAACCATCCCCTTTGTTCCCATCTCTGGTTGGACTGGGGAGAACATGATTACAGCGTCTCAGAAGGTAAGGGTTAAAATTGTTTTCTGAAGCCAAACTGCATTCTATATATATATTTTTTTCTCCTCTTGACCTTCCAGATGCCATGGTTCCAAGGGTGGAAAGTCAGGAGGCGAGAAGGGAATGCCAATGGTAAAACACTGCTAGAGGTCCTGGACTCAATTCACCCACCTATACGTACCATCAACAAGCCTTTACGGTTACCTCTGCAAGATGTTTACAAAATTGGAGGCAAGTTTAAGTATATGTAAACCTGAAGGCTCTTAAAGGGCAAATCCCAGACATTCAAATGTTTGACCAACAATATCTGCCTTAGGTGTTGGAACTGTTCCAGTAGGTAAAATTGAAACTGGTGTCCTCAAACCTGGCATGACACTGATGTTCTCTCCGGCCAAACTCACTGCTGAGGTGAAGTCCATAGAGATGCACCACCAGGGGCTGCAGACAGCACTGCCAGGACACAATGTTGGCTTTAACATTAAGAATGTGTCCGTGAAGAATCTGCGCCGTGGAGACGTGGCTGGGAATGCCCAGCAGGACCCTCCAACAGACGTCAAGAGCTTTGAGGCTCAGGTAGGGCAAATTCATTTTGCATACAACCTTAGAATGCTTAAGTTCTGAATCTTTGTGTTGTAGGTCATTGTCCTAAACCATCCTGGCAAAATAAAAGTGGGCTACTCTCCAGTCCTGGACTGCCACACGGCCCATGTGACCTGTCGCTTCGCTGAGCTGAAGGAGAAACTTGACCGGCGCACGGGAAAGAAGGTTGAAGAATACCCACAGATCCTGCAGTCTGGAGATGCTGCCACAGTCAAACTGGTGCCCATTAAACCCATGTGTGTGGAGAGCTTCTTCACATACCCACCCTTAGGTACAACATCCACTCATGTGTGCTCTACAAATGTCACATCTGTACTGCAATGCAGCTAAAACCAGCTTTTCCTGTTGTCCACAGGTCGATTTGCAGCAAGAGATCTCAAACAGACTGTTGCTGTGGGAGTCATTAAGTCGGTAGACAAAGACCCAGGCTCCAAACTTAAAGCACAAGTGTGCAAATAATTTTGTTTACCAGATTTCTGGTATTTTTACATTTTGTTTTAGCAAATTTCACTGTGGTTACATGGTGGTATTTATGTTGTCTTGAAGTTGAATATGTACTTTTGTTCCAAATGTGCAAGTTGGATGTGTATTTTAGTTAAGACTTTGGAATGAGGATGGAAAAATAAAGAAATGGAAAAGTCATCTGCTCTCATTTCATACTTGACCGGTGTCTGCGTTATATTCACTGTAAGCAGAGGAAACTGTTTTAGGTACAGCACTTTAATGATACAATGGGTTTGTTCCTTACATGGGAAAAACTGCAAGTCAGTGAGGTTTGGGTGAAATACATGGCTCTTCAGCCTTTACAAGCCCAACCTAGTACAGACCTGATTCACAGGCAAAGTGGAAATGTGCTAAGTCCAGTAACATGGAATGGTTTACATGATTAAAATCTTCAAGCTCATGAGGTTTTACAATGCTGTGTACACTAATATTTCTAGCCTGTTAGAAAATAAAGTTATTGCTAAGTTGTCCTTTTCCATACTTGACAATGACTAATAGTGGCTTTAATAACAGGATACTTGTGGTAGTCCCGCTTTCAGTGGCTCTTCAGACCCTGAGGTGAGCGTGTTGTATGCAGCACTCCACTCACTTCCAGTCATTGTTACACCATGCACAGAGTTGGACTGCGGGGATGGTGTGAGCTCAGCACACAGCATACGAACAGTGGACAGTGTAACAAGGAGTAAATTAGTGACCTACAGTGAACCACAGGCTTTGATATTTCCACCACACAATAGCAGCAGGTTTTTATACTGTAAAACAACCATAATACGTGTACACACAAAGCAAGCAAGAACAAGGAGTACATTTAATGAAATCTTCATCTTGAGAGGGTCTGTAGGAGACTTCTGCCACTTAATTTCATTGTGGTGGTAAACAGGGATGCAAGACACAAATGACATGACCTAGTTCACATTCCTTTTCTTTTTCCAGAAATATAAGCTGATAATTATTTGAGGGCCTTTAAAATTAAGATAAAATTCAAACTCCACTGCCCTGATGCTTAGTCTGACAGGTAGAGCAAAATGGTACATGTTTTGTACAATAAAACATGTATATACACTCACACACAAATATATATATTTACATACATATATACACAGTAACAGCATAAACATAGACTTTAGGTAAGTGCTAGGGTTCTGAGGCCTGGTCACAGCCGTGCTATAGGGTTAAGATAATACTGGTAGAGGAAGAATACACACATTCTTTGTACAGCATGGACTGGATATCCATGGCGAGATGAGCCTTATTGGGTTTCTGCTTGTTTTTTCTTCTTTAGGACACTTGTCTTGTGGCGATGGGTGTTACAATAGCTATTTACAGGGCCTCCAAACTCAGTGAGAGGTGTAGTGCAAGTCTTTCTGGTTGTCAATCACTCAAGATGTGCACAAAAGACATAGGAAACACCCCCTTCCTCTCAGGTTCTCCTTCAATGTGGCCAATCTGAAACAAAAAAGAAATACACATTCAAAATTAGATGCCTTAAATGTCATTCTTCACAGCATTCAAAGAAACAAAAAGCAGGCTCAGCTGTAGATGGTCCTGAAGGCAGACTTACCCACCACTCCTGGTCCTCTTCACCTGTCACTATGATCACCTCTCCTTCAGCAAATGTGAGCTCATCGTCATTGTCAGCCTGGCAGTCATAGATGGTCTTCACTCGACGTGCTTTGCTCTTCCCCTGCAAGTGTGGAAAGAAGGTGGCAAAACTTTGTAAGTTAGCAGTGTACTGCCTCTTAAGTATTCAGTTTATACTGGCCAGTGGTGGAAGTACTGAAAATGTGTTTAAAAAAAAAAAAAAAAAAAAGGTGAAAGTACGTAAAAGTTAGTTACCTGGCTAAAATGTACTCAAGTACAAGTACAAATGAAAGATACCACAAATAACTAGTTATTTTTGGTAGAATTTTATATCAGTCTTTTATACAAAACTGCTTTAATTAAACTGAATTAATGCTATAATTTGTAATTGAATTTGCTGCCCTGTAGCACTGTCATATATCACCACTAGATACTATCTACATTACAGTTGCCTGACATCTGCCATCTATCAAATAAACTTACACTGGTAGCTTTAAGTTGTTTAAAAAAAATAATTAAATGCATAAATAATACACAGAAAAAAAACTTACTGGTGTGTTGATTTTTCGAGGAAGGGGCACTGGAGTTTCGGCCATTCCAGCTGGGGTTCCATTAGTGTCTTCTGCAGACTGTGGCGAGGAGGGCACAATTGCCACTTGCTGATTGGGTGAAGGTGAATCTTGGGGTGTGGCTTGGGGTGTGAGCTGGGGGCTGGGCGTGGCTTGTGGCGGTGCTGGTGAGGTGGCTTGAGGCTGAGCTTGTGGATGTGGCTGTGGAGGGGGTGGAGGCTGAGTCTGGGGCCTCTGTACTGTGTCTGGCCTAGGAGCAGAGTCGGACGGGCCCACTTTAGGGTGAGGCAGGTCGGACAGCTGCGGTTTGGGAGGCAGGTCTTTCAGCTGGGGCTTGGGCGGTAGGTCACCCAGCTGGGGCTTGGGTGGCAGGTCCGACAGGTGAGGTTTGGGGGGAAGTTCTCCAGGTTTAGGGGGCAGCTCTGATGGCTGCGGTTTAGGGGGCAGATCTCCAGGCTGAGGCCTGTCAGGGAGAGGGGCCTTCAGGGGAGTGTCATTTCCTGGTGGAGACTTCTGGAAGACCTCTGGAGGAAGGCTGGGCTTATCCATTGATGGGTGGTGTATAGTGTCTATCTTCCGCAATGCCACTGAGAAACAAAAAATAAATATATATGTTACAAACAACCATATTGTTAAGCACTACATTGCATTACCACTAGGAATATTCCCCACTAGTGTAGTTTAAAGCACAAGAAACATAAAATTTGAATAAACCTGTTAAGTGTGGCTAATGTCAGTACTTCAAAGGGCTTCACTAATGAACAGTATCCTTGAGTATTGCATTATGTATTGTACTTTGATAATAGTTTTAAACATTCACTGAGATATTTTTATCCCACATAACTGCTACTGTCAAACAACTTTTCTCACTGTTTATATAGACCAAAACCAAACTCATCCTCATACCTTTTTGAGGTAGTTTTGGCAATACCCTCGGACCAAGTGTAGATTTTGTGTTACTTGAAGTAGTGCTGAGAAGAGAATATTTGGACAGTTATGTCAAGACAATCACACACTTTTAAAAAGCAAAATACACAATATAACATGACACCATATTTAGAGAGGGTTTCCAGTACCTTTGCTGCTGAGGAATGCCTTCAAATTTATTAGACACAGGTGACATCTTGGTGACTGGAGGAGGGGTAGAGTCACTTCCTACAATATTAACAGTCACCATGATAAACAAATTAATCAAATGATTGTCAAACAAGTAAGCACAAGAATGTATTTGTGATCAATGTGGAGATAAATTAACATGCTGTGATGGTTAAATAAAACAATGAGGGAGGCGTCATCTGGCTGAGCTTTCCATGAGACTGGATTATTTGTGGTTTAGTGGAATACAAAGTGTCCTCCGTGACATAGTGCTGGGTAAGTGTGACAGAATGCACAAAACACTACAGAAGACAAATGAGAACATCTAAATAACACAACTATTTAGTTTACACAAGGGAGTGCCAGCAGGTCGAAATCAAGGATGAGGATTTTGTGTGAGCATCTGACATTCTATTTCAACTATATCCAATGTATTACAGTGTGAGTAATAAATACAGCTTTGCCTCTCAGGCCAGAGCCTGTCCTACTTTTGGAAACAGTTTGGGGACAGTACAGTTATATTTGCATGATGTATCACATTAGATAGAAAGTATATCTAAGCTTTGCAACTCTCATGGGAAACCAGTGCCGAGAAACTTCAGCAGCTCTTTGTAATCTGGACCAACAGAGGTTTACAGTGGATTGTTAGTTTTTTGTGTGATTGTGTGACTGTGAAGGCTGTTCACAGGGCAGTGTGATGCCTTTGAATAAAGCAACTGAATGAGAACACAAGAATCACTTTAGTGTGACTATTCAATTTGGACCTCACTTTATAGCAATTTACTCCACTTTTTGTAATACATTGACTATAGAAAATGCTTGTGTCAGTTATCTAATGCTAAAATTATTTTAATTTAAGGAAATGTAAAAAGCTACTAAGTATAATATTAGATAAACTTTGGTTTATATGCGCACTCCATATTGGACATAGCACTGTTTCTAGCATTCTGTCCTTGAGGCTGTGTGTAACAGCCCTACAGTCGGTGTGCTCACCCCCAGTTAAGCCCCCTTTACTGTGTGGACTGTGGGAGAGCGGGCTGGGTGGGTCAGACAGGGTACGTTTGTGTCCAGGAGGGGGGGGCGGTGGTCTCTTCTTGGACAGGGTTGAGCTGCCTCCTGGGGTGAGTGCAGAGGGAGGGCCGGATGGGGGTGGAGCTAGAGGAGCGATACATAAAAACACATGAGGAGATGAGGTCCCCCCCAAAATCAACCGACCAAACCCCAACAAAACAACCCACAGAAGCAGGATAAGGAGGAGCAGACAGGAGCAACACACAGCTCACAGGGGCTGGGCTGTCAGGAATAGAGACCGCAAGACAATGAGGAAAGACATTAGAACAAACTTCATCCAAGGCAGCCAACAGGTACAGAACAGGTACATCTGGAAGGAGATGCAAACAGTTAAAGGGACATTGTGTTTCCACTGTGGTGAAAGTAGGTATAGAGTGTGTAGTTATAATAGAGGTTGTTGGTTAAACATTGAGAGAAAAGTAAAGTAAAGCAGCTAATAGAGAGCTCAGCCAGAGAGGAAGTCAGCTGTGGTAAGGTTTTACAGCTCAAGGATGGTGGACCTCATTCATGTCACATTAAAAACAATGCAGATGAGCTAAAGGCCCAGTCTGCCTACATCATCCCATTGTTTGCTTATAAAACTCCACCAGCCTGTAAATCTGAGCAGTAAAGGCCCGAACAACGGAGGGACAATTGTAAATGGGGCACACAGCCGAGTAGAAGGGGAACATAAAATCAGGATATTCACTGATGTATGGTCGAGTGCCAGCCAGTGTGGCGTAGTGCGAATGAGAGCCAAGGAATGCCAAGTGTGGAGCTGGAAGAATAGAGAAACAAAAAAGAGAAAGAAAGAGCGAGATGAGGAGTGTGGGAGAGCATTGACAGTATGTCAGTCTCAAAAAGAATTGCTCCCACACAATACTAAATAACGAGATGAAATCTTATCCGTGACAGGCAAAGCATAAAAGGCGACACTGCACAAAGCCAGCCCCACTCTTCAGCTTCACCTCCTGAGAGAGAGGGACCAGTGTGCTGCTGCTGCTGCTAATGTCAAGCATCTGAGAAATTAGCATGTATTAGACAGTATGTCAAGTTAGTCCTTATCAACAATTATAAATCACATGCTTTGAATTGATACAACATGATTTATCTATGTATGCTTTCCATGTATTGTCCAAGATGAACATACATATGACAATATAGTTTGGTTTGATTAAAAATTTAGAATTTTACATTATATAAAAATTGCATCAACCAATGGAATAGTATAGCCTGGCAGTCATTGCCTGATCCCTGATCCAGTTTTGGACAGAAGCATCAGTTAGTAACAATGCTTATGATGCACTGTAGGTCTCTGCAGTGTTACTCCTTTCTGGGAGGACTGTTATTATTCATTGTAAAACTGCAGGGACAGCAGCTCAGTGTGTGCTGTGTGTCACAGGTTAATGAATATGTGTGACACTTTGTATCCTGCCTTTCTATCATGGGTATACAGGTGGGAACCATTTTCCAGAAAAAAAAAGGCAAAATGCACCTCTGCACAATGCCGTAGACATATCAACATTTTAAATCACCAAAATGATATTGTTAACACTGTAACATATGTATTAGATTGTATTACAGCAACAGGAAACTAAAAAGTAAGAAAAAGAATCCTGTCTCCGAGACTCTTGGAGCAGGCAGGTCTGACCTTTGCCCTGGTTCCTGGGGGGCAGTGGGGGTCCGTCTGCCACAGGGGAGGAGCTGAGGTCTGTGGAGGCGCTGTACATCTGGTTGGTGAAGGCGCTGTAGGACAGGCGCTGCTGCTTGTCTCTCTGGCTGATGAAGCCCGGCAGAGAGAGCTTGTCATGGGGGGACAGGCTGGAGGAGTGGCAGAAGCTCTGGGGCCTGGGAGACCGGTCCTTTTTAATGGGACTAGGCTGCACCAGGACACACAGGAAGGGTACCAGTTCAGGCAAAGGCTTTAATGTTATATTGTTATATATTTGAAAACATAATGTCTCTTCTATTTATTTATTATCTTTATTCATAACTTTGCTTTGTTTGCATGTCTGTTAAATCTTCTAAATTAATTCTACTGAATTTGAAAAAGTGTAAATATCTTGCCTCCAAAATGAACATAATCTGATGCTTCAAAGACTGTGGCTGTGTGAACAGTTATGCAGTGGACCTGAACTAAAGTGCTACAGCGCTCAATTAGATCCCAGCATCAGCCTGGCTCCAAAGTGGATTGCATTAGAGTGGTCAAGGGCTGTAATAACATCACTGCTCTTCAAACCTTGTCATCCAGGTCGTCATCACTCTCATCCATCTCCTCCAGTCTGAGGCTCCACTCATACTCCACATGGATGTGGGGGTTGAACTTCCCCTCTGCGGCCTGCACAAGCTGACATGCACAAACAGGCAGTAATTAGACAGGAAAATCATTCATGCTTTTACATTACATTAAGGATTGTTTTGAGTGCATACTCATTCTACTGTTAATAATACAAAACATGCATTGAAATACAGGCATTTATGATGCCAGGGGCTAGACACAGACCTTACACTGCCACCTGGTGTTAAAACTGACTATAGTAAAAATATTATCATTTTTAATTCTCTGTAACCTGTCTGCTTCTGGATTGGATTTTTAGCAATGATATTTTTGCACCAATTAAAATGCAGTGTGATATCCCAAAAGAGACCACACTGTGTGGTCCTGCTTTTACCACAGAAAAATACTTACTGCCTCCTCGCACTGAGTGTTCCTCAGTCGCCTGGCAACATCCAGCGCAGTCTCTCCGTTCTGATTGGCTGAGGGAGAGTGAGCATAATCAACAGTTAGAGCCTCATATGTGGCCACAGATGACATTAGGCAGTGGCTGTGACTCACTGATGTCCGTGGCTGGCTTGCCCCGCAGGAGTAACTTGAGGCATTCAGGCTTCTCAAACATGCAGCAGTAATGTAGGGCTGTGTTCCCCCACTCCGTCTGCTTATCCAGGTTACCACTGAGGTACAACACGCACAGAGATGACATGACTTTAAGGGCTGTTAAACAGGCAGTCTGCTGCAGCAGAGTGTTGTGTAGTGAACACTTTTCTAATTAGTCAGGTGGGCATTCATTGTGCCCATTAGGATGCTAAATGAACAGCTGAGAGGTTTTCTCATTTTCTATGGTAGAAGGTAATACATTTGAAATAATGGCCCAAAGCATACCACTATATATGAATTAATGTTCTTGTTTTGTGCAGACTATGTGTGTGCAGATGAGGCACTGTTAGGTAAACAATAGAAGAGAATAGAATAAATTAAGGAAGTGAACAAGTGCTTGACCCATTTCTGTTTGCCTTGTGGGAATCTGAGCTGAGCAGTGCACTAAGCTTTCCTCTGTACATCAGCTGCTTTATTCAACATAAAAAACAGAAACTTACTGTTTAATCTTGGTCTTCTCTAAGTGGCTGTATTTGTTTTCACTGAACAGCTTTTTGTACTACTTTTCATTATGCAATGGGTCAAAATTCCTTTTGACTCTTGAAAAACATAAACCACCCAGTAGGTGTCTTGCTAAAGCTAACAATGTATGAAGTGTCATTTGCAATAAAAATTTACCTGTTTTGCACAAGAAAATCCACCAGGTGCAGTGAGGTCTGGTCAGCAGTCCTTACAGAGTAGTGCAGTGCTGTCTCTCCAACCTCCTGCAGGGGGCCATCAAACACAGAGGAGAGGCATAAGGTACTGGGCAGCATCCATTCCCTATTCCCACCACCCTGTCGCACTTTGAGCATTTAAACAAGCTGCAGTAAACAAAATGGCTCCTAAAATCAACACATTTTCTAAAGACAACATCAAGTTCCATCTTTCCCTTCAGAAATGACATGAGCAATCATTCTGTGCCCGAATCTATAAGCCTTAAGTCCATTGCTCTTGAGAAAATACATGAATTCTGACATGTCAAGTCATCTATACCATTAGTTCTATATATAGAACAGCACACAAATCTTGCACTTGTGTTGGAGTGGAGGGCGTGTGGGATGTCTCAATGTCCGCAGACAGCAGCTTTTCAGTTGCACTGACAGCGGCAGATCAGATATCGGTGAGTCAGACTCTATAACAGCAGTAGCAGCACCTTCCTGTGTCACTAAATTAATCCGCACTTTCAATATATGGCTGCAATGCACACTTGATTTTTTATTGGAGAGATTCAAAGATCTGTGTGTTTTAGTCCAATGACCTAATTATGTCACATTTGGTCTTATCACACATGTTGTTTAGGCTATGTGGTCTTATTTTATTGCATTTTGCTTCACCATAATTTTGGTTATGAATGGTTCTATAAAAAATCTTTCCAGATTTTTTAATTAACAATGAATATGATGCATTGGCATTGCATGTGTAAATATGGGTTTGGATGACATAATGGCTGTGATGTGGAGGAGCATGCTGCATATCACCACCTGCTGGTGAAGTTCTCCAGATGACTCAACCCTTCCCAACTGTTACACCCATAAGTATAGCCACCCAATAATTCACCAACTGGTACAAATGTGTCAGCATGTGGCTGCCCTGGTGGAAGGAAAACAACCTCAAGCAGAGAGGCTAGAATAAATCAACTCCAAACAATGCAGGAGGTGTCTGGGAGGGCACAGAAGTAATATGCATCTTATGACCTCCATACATTAAACCAAATCTGTCCTTGTTGGGCAGACTCACCGGTCCAGCTTCTGGGAGTGGTTCCATTAGCTCCACCCCCTCTGCATAGACCTGGATGAGAGCCAGCAGGTCCCTGGACTGAACTGCCTCAAACAACTCAATCATTTTAGCTGCCGCAGATGAGCATGTTTTCCTCGCATACTTGTGGTCCACATACTTAGCGTTGATAAACTCCTTCCTCACTGTCCTGTGGGTAAAAAGTACATTCAGTCAGACAAAGAATAAAGATGCTGACATGAAAACAACATTGTTATAGATCAAATATATAACATACATGTCACTTGAGGGATTGGGCTTTGGTGAAGGAGAAGGGAGGTTTCCCTCCATGATCTCATTGAAACTACTATTCCCTACATTCTTGGCCAGCTGAAAAAGAAGTGGTAAAAGTCAAGATGAGATCATGTGATTGTTGACAAGTATAACAGCATTCACATGGCCTCAGGATAAGTGCTTTATTTGTAATGTTCCCTTCAAAATAATCGTTTTGAAAGGCTTTTAACATTACACAGTGGAAGAAAATAATCCTTTCAGTATCATAGTTATTTGGTTAGTTAGTTCTTTATTTCAAATCACCTACCAAGAGTTCTGAGGTCCCTAACTTGTCCAGTTCCATAGATTGAATGCGGGAGATGTGAACACCCATCTCACGGTGGATCCCAGAGCATTCAATACAGGTCAGAATACCCAGATTGGTAGACAGCCATTTTGGATCTAAAAACACAATGCATACATTCTAATCATGCACAAAATAAGTGATGGCAGGTACACATCTTTGTACTTTTCATCACACACTTTAACTACAAAAAGAACACCTATTCAACTAAGCACACAGACTAGCCATTTCAAACATATCCATGTGCTATGTGGTAGACCAAACATATGCAGGCTATGTGGTAAGGTGGCTGGAAAGGATTGACCACTACTGTCTCACAATGCTGTTAATGATGCAATCTGGGAGTAAGCCTATAGCTCAACTGAATTTATGATGACAGCTACACAGTTCAGAGTGGACCATACAAGCAAACACCAGGTAGTGAAGCTAGAACATCATCCTTTTATGCAAAGAACAGACCAAGCTGAGAAGAGGTCACTGGGTCCATGTTACCCATAATGAGAATACATCACTGACCCCTATAGCTGTTTAATACACACTAAATCTGCAAAGCCCTACAGACCATCATGCATTGGGCACCTTCAAATCATATGCAGCCTAGAGCATCAGGTTATTTCAAGTGTTACCACAATCAATTGACATTTCATCAAATGAAACAACACAAATCAGCTTACAGCCCATCTGCTCTTCTGCTTTAGTCATGTATATGAAGAGTGGAGCTGACAAGACCAATCACTTTGGCTCTCTGCGGATTGTAGGGGGTCGTCATTGCATGCAGCTTACGTAACCGCGTGATGTAATAAAACTGTTTCTTAAACTTATCCATGTTTGTGAAGAGAGTTTCTGCTTTTGCCGTGTGTGTTTATGTTAACTCTGTGTGTGTGTGTGGATGTGCTCCCGGGGCCTGGATTGTCTACGGCCCTCCCGAGTGCTGAGTCTTGGCTTGGGAGTGCGGGGGAGGATGTGGAGAGAGGCTTGTGCCCTGAATGCTAACAGCACTACTGCATTAGCGCGCTGCTGCCTGTTCCGTCAATGGTTGCTGGGGGAATTTGGAAGTTGCCTGACGTGAGGAGATGCAAAAATAGCTGCGACATTGCGAGATTATCAACGTCAAATGCGGTGTTAAGTGGGATTTGATTACATGTCATTAACGTCAGAAGGCACTGAGGCAAAGGCAGTTAGCTCCATAAAGGTGAGGATTGAGAGGGTTAACTAAGCAGAAAACAGAAAAGAGGATGTATAAGCGGAGTTTGGAAGGGAACATGGGAGCAGGGGGCAGTGGACTACGCACCAGCAGCCCCACAGTCGCAGCACACTTCATTGCCAGGCATGCGCAGGACGTCCTCGATGATGGCCTTGGTCAGGTCCTCCAAGCCGTCCTCCCCTCCACTGCTCTGCTCCCCACGAAACGCCATGTTCAAGGCTTCTTCCTTACTGTTGGTCAGCACCGAGATCCAGCTGTGAAGAGAAGAGTGGACTGTCAGGGATAGTTATACAGAATAAGGTATATGAAATTGCGTGTTCCAGCAATGTCAACTATTTGTGTTTCCCACAAATTTGCTGAAAATATTGATGGCAGAAGCTATCTTTATTAAGAATCAGCTGCATTTTAATTCATAGTAAGGACACTACTCAGTAAATACATAGTACATGTATTTATTGCTTGTTTCTAATCTTGGTGGAGAGGATTAGACATTTTTACTGATGGGAAACACTGTTGCTATGGTAAAGAAGCACCAGCATTTAATTTTGTCTTGGAAAATGCAAAATCAGTTATTATATGGTAAAAAATATCTGAAAGGTAAATTCAGAAATACTTAACCTATTAGTTCGCCTAGAACTTGCTATATTACGTCATAACTAGGCATTTTAAGGTTCCTTTTATCAGCCTCCCCTAAAATATTATTGTCCTAAAATTGTAACGTCATGTGAAACCTCGCAATACATGGCTATACTGTATGCTTTTAAAATGTCACTGGAAAAATGTGTTTATCACCTGGACCTGACAGCGAACCTGAAGTGAAGACTTCTATACTAACAACAAATGCATTTAATAGATTTAGAATGGGACAAAGTCAAAATGGCTTCCTGACATTCACCTCTCCACACATTCCACCCACTGCTGTGACCCTCACCGCTTTTAAACTGTCAGCATTTCCAGTCACTGTCAGTCACCTTTGTGTATCAACCTGAGGGTTAAGAGGAAGCGGGCAAGCAAACATAGATGTGTTACCCTGAAAGTGTTAAAAGCAGCCTGTTTTGATGATTGAAGTGTGCCGACAATCATTGCATCATCTCTCTGTTCTTATTGTATATTACGTTTCACGTAATATGGCCCCTGCTTAATTGGATGGCTGCAATGCATAAAGAAAAAGCACTGAATATTTTATGGAGAATCCCATAAAGACTGCTGCTGCTAGTGCGTGACAGACCAGGCAGAGAGGAGTACCGGGTTTATCCCAAAGGACTGCATGTACACAGCAAAAAGGGAACTAGAAATCCTCTTTATTTTAGACTGGGAATATGCAAACCAAGCAGGATCAAAGTGAATCTTTTTTTTACTGCAGTTCTTGGCAGCAGGCTAAAAAAATGCACAGCGACTTCCTTCAGAGAGCATTTGATATTGGATTTAAAGAGAACAAAGTGTTGACTTGTTTTGAATTCTGGTAAATATGCAACAGGGGAGGAAATTGATCAAGGCAAGATGATCAAGCAATAATGAAAAGAAAAAAAATGCATGTAGTTATGTCACTTCAATAGGATCTAGGGAACCACCAGTAAAGATGTCAAAAGTTTAATAGATAAATTTACAGCTAGATCATCTTGCATACTCACAATGTGAGAGGTTATCTAAGGACGTGGTTGGGTAGCATGTTCCAGTGACTATAGTGTGAATTATAGAGCAAACCACAAATCCACAAACCCACGCAATTTCCATCTCTCTAACTGAATACACTTTGTGACAAGTTGTTTATTATTAAATGTCATAGGGAACTTAAACTCAAAATGTAATATACTCACATCACAAACTCCTGCTCATCCTCAGCTTGGAAATGATATGTCCGGTTATCTGTCAAAGACAAATATCAAATCAGAAAAATTAAGTTTAATCAAATTTAAAAACATTTATAACTTTGACATAAAAATTTTGGCAGGACTTACGAGAAATAAGGTCAAAGCACTTCCTATCTTCGGGACTGGGCTTCACTTGGCAGGTCAAGAGGTTGAGTTTGACTGGTTGCCGGTTAGACTGTAAGCAGATACAAAAAATTACATTAGAAACTGTTGTTATCTATGCATTTTACAAATGAGTCTGATCAGCCAAATATTTTTTACATTATAGTAAAGTTACACAAACATTGAGCTATATCAATTTGGACATCATACTTTTTTATCCACATTTATTTTATATGATGGTGCCAATAATTGCGTCTCTTGGCTTAAAATGACTTGGTTTAGTATTTTATTTCAGTTTGGCTCTCCATGGACACCAAGAAGTTACAGCTCAGATCTGTGTAGAGGTGAAGCCAGCTCACAGTAAGAATGCATGCTTATTCTGGACCTAAAAAAAGGCAAGAACATTCAAGACATTGCAATAACATCTCCATGGAGACAAGTAGGTGGCAGACTCTCCCGCAGTGCATCTTTATCATTGCATTATATTTTGAAATTGAACATATTCCTTTATCTTCTCAACAACTGCATGTCACTATTACAATTCAAGATTTGCAAGACCATTGTCTCGTCACCTCAGCTGGCAGGGCTCATTCAAACTGCCCAGCCTGACAGTGTGAACTCCAGGCTTGTTCGGTGCCAGCAGGGAAACTGGGTTGCACTGGCTGCCCTGTGTACTGTAATAATGGGCCCAGTTGGCACACGGACACTGAACATTGTCTGGTGCCAGTGTGGGACAGGGGAGGGGCCGGGCACGTGCTAATGAAACGCTAACAGCCTGGGAGCTCAGTCTGCTGGCCTCATGCCAGCAGACTGCCAAAGGCACCTAAAGTTCAGCTACAGTCAGGAATAAAAAAAATAAGACATATTGATAAGAACTATACTCTTGACCAATGCATTAGTCTTATCTTGCAATGGTAAATATAGCCACCAGACCTGGACTCATATCAACCTAGTTTCATTCAATGTATTCCCATACACTGTATAAAGAATTGGACTAAAGGAGTGTGACGTCACCCATAACATTCAGCTCCAGTCAAATGACACTCACGATATTAGCAGTTATAGGAGCGGATTTGGAGCAGAGTTTCATGTCAGTAACCAAAATTGTATTTATGTACAAAAAAGCGAAATAAAAACACCAGGAGCGTGTAGAGCGGGTTAATAGAAACATTTTAAGACCAAAATGACAAGGCCCACTAGAACAGATACAGAGAGAGGGGTAATAATTGTTCAATGTAAAGTAAACTGGAGCCAGAAGCGTCCCCATGAACACGTCCTATTTGGAATGTGGCTAGCAAGTTACTCCATTTATGTCCATTTCTATATACAATCTATGTGTATTCCACAATATTCACTTTACTGTCCTTCTCAATGAAGCATCTATCTGGATATAATAGCATCATTACAACAACAGTATTGATGCTAACTTTTATCTCAAAATTTCAACAAGTGGCACCACAGGACATCTGAACCATCTAAACATTCAAATGGAAAGTAAATGAAAAAAATGCTTTACACATAATTACCTAAATATACAGTAAATACAGTAAATCATAATATAGCATCTACCAATGCATAGGATTACAATGCCACAGCAGGTAGAATGAAATGTTGTTTATATTTTCTACACATTACACTTTAGTACTTAAATAATTAGTTAAGTGCCACTTCCTCTGCGCCCACAGCACACAGATATGATGTCATGCTGCAGTGCTTAAACCTACGTCACTCTTTGATGCTATAAAACGTTGAATGTGAACAATAAGCGGCTCATGGACTCATCTCTCGTGATCATTATTCACGTGGGAGCTAATCCACCAAAACAAATGTGTGTTAGTAAATAAGCCTGCAGCATGTCGGCCTCACTAGGCTTACCAGCTCAACCAACAGACAGCTGACAGCCCATTCCACAACAGAGCCATACCTTCAGCAGCACTGCCCCAAAATTTCATTCATACAATATTCATGGACTAGGTAGGCAACTGACAGGTGCATTGTGGTTTGACTTTTTAACTGTAACGGCAGGGGTGAACCAAATGTCCGAGATGTAATTAGCTAATGACAGTGTATTTAGCATACGATTAATAAAGCAATGGCAGAGGAAAGAATGTGAGACTGAAATATACATTTTACAGCTACATCAGTTTATTTTATATGCTCCTTGACAAGACCTAACTTGTAAATCTCCAATTCTGTATTACATAGGCCTACATTAAAAATATATATCCTGCCTCCACTGAACCCAAAACAACCCAACAGTGTTATGCAAGATAGTCCTGACATGACCTAAGTTAGGCTACGTTTATATGAGGACAGTCTGAACAGAAGACGCAAAAGTGGTGTCGCGTCTTCACTTTTTATTCCACACTTAGACAAGCATTTTTGGGAGGAAATAGCATTTTTTTAATTTAAATTTAAATTGCAAAGGTGTGTGGAATTTGATTGGGTATGCATGCCAGGTGGCTAGGCGGTGAACGCAAGGTGGTGATGTATGTGACATAAAGGCATAGGTGATGTGAGCAGATCTGACCAGAGTTTTACGTCTTGGGCAGTGTAGATGGAAATGCTACAGCGGAACGTATTCAACTTCTCCACTCTGAAGGGTGGTTTCAGATTTTTGCGTTTTTAAGCCCCAAAAACGCTGTCACTGTCTAAACGAAAAGGCACTTCCGATAAAAAAAAAAAAGTTGTCGTTTTTCACCACAAACGTTCTCATTTAAATAGGCCCTTAGGATCTGAAGATGGTACCCGCCCCACTGTTAGGCCTGTCACAATAACACATTTTGAAGTGTGATATATTGCTTAAGTAAATATAGCTGATAAATGATAATATTGAAATCAAACCATAAAGCCTCCTAAAAGTATTCTAAATGTACAATATTATTAAAAAACATGAGAAGCAATAAATACATAATAGAATGCATAATACATAATAGAACACTTCACATGATCTAGAGTCATACAAATTCATAACTCAACCTTCAACAGCTCAAATGTCATTGTAGTACAGAAAAATTACAAATATGTTCCCACTAGTGCAAGGAAAATGAGCAGCAAAAATTATTATTCCATCTTTCATATACTGAATGATAAATCGATATAGTGTTTATCGTGACAGGCCAACCCAGTGCCCCCAGGATCATAGGTTGAGGAAGCAGCATTGAAGAATGGGTCAGAAGCACAGAAAAAAAATTAAAAACTGTCTCTTGTTAAGAACATCTAGCATGAACAGTCCTCATTATAGCATTTTGGACACTTAGCAAAGCCTAGCTGACCATTTGACTTTCACATATGCTATTAGCTGCAGACTAAAATTGTTAGAGCTGCTGTATTTTCAGTTTTTTTTTATTGGATTTTATCTTTTCAGACCCAGCTCAACACCTGCCACAGCTTTTCCACAATTAGGTACATTTTCTAATTGCGCCAGACTAGTCATTCTACGAGGTCTTTTTGTCTGAGGCTTAGCGGGAGGTTAAACACAAATAGCAGATGGCCACAGTACGGCTCTGCTCTGAATGTGTTTATTTCCCATTACAACAGTCTCGAATTTGACTGTCTGCTGCTGCCGCACAAGGGTGAGGAGGACAATGCCGGAGACGTGCCGGCGTATACAGTGGAGATGAGTCACCCAGGCGCAGCAGGCGGAGGGGGGAGGGGCCAGCGTTGCCATAACAACCCATCTATGTCAAGTCCACGTATTTCCAGATCGAGAGGGAGCCCACTGCCGCTGCCTCCCTGCGTGATGTCGTGGCTTTGATCCGCGCAGTCACCACAGGGAGGGGGGAGAGCAGGGGTGGGAGTGACAGCGTACCGGGGCTGGTTATACTCACCGTGGCATGGGAGATGGTGAGGATGCCCCCCTTCACTGAGCACTGCCTCCTCTGCCACACCTTCCTCAGTCTGCAGTGGAACAGACAAAAGCATCGTCAGCCATTATGGTTTTTATAAAGGATTTGATGTACACTTCCAAGTCTAAGATGTAATCAGATTCTTTGTCATAACTTAACAATTTATTTAGCAACAATTTAATTAGCATTACAACAAAATAGCTGCTGTGATTTAAAGATGCACTATGTAACTGCTTGTCTCCATGGAGATGTAGATGCTTAGCCTAAAATGTTCCACAGTATTGCACTTATCTTGCATTCATTCAGTTACATTTTTATTGCAAAAAATAACATGTAGGTCTCACAGTGAGAGGGGTTTCCTCTCTACAAATGTGACCTGTTACATGGCCTGAAGATGTCACCTGTTTGTCTCCATTGAAATAAAGATGTTGAAAGCCATACTATAAACCTCCTCAAAAAAACAGATGATGTATCTCAAGGGGCTGGCCTTAATAAAATAATAATTTCTTATAAATAATTGAATAATTACATAATTCCAGGCATAGCAGTAACACTTCAATGGAGAAAAGCAGGTGGCAATGCTTCCATCAGCAGCAGTGCACTTTTAATGCTGATTAATTATTGAACACAATCTGTAGATCTAGTAATTCATATGCCAAATCACTGATGGTTGGCAAATTTAATCAGACAGCGCTCTAACAATTTGACCATGGGATGAAAACTGAATAACAGCTCAGTTCAGTATGCAATTTTTAGATGTACGTATGTGTTTCTTATTATGATTCACAGTCTTATATGCAAAAGGATACCTATATTATATATGTTATGCATTTTACCCATCACTCTTCTTCAGTAAGTAGCCTTTCTTCTCAGAGCCAAACTCCTTGTTGCCCTGCAGCTGGTGCATGCTGTATCCACCTTGCTTACTCTGGGAGTCCTGTGCAAAACAACACAAACTGTTAGTCCTGAAGGCACTGGAATAACAAGGCCCTCTTTAATAAAACATGCAAACATCTTCACACAGTACAAAATGATTTATTAAACCAAATGAGCTGCAGTTGAACATAAATAATAATGCTACTCAAAACATAACGTAAGCTACAAGCATGCTCTGCAAACAGGTCTAAAAAGCCAAAGCACTCTATTATCAAACAGCACAGACTAGCATGCACCCGGCACTTACTCTTCTAGACTTGAGTCCAGACAAGCAGAAGGCAGAAGGGGACATAGAGGGGAGAGGTGTGAAAGAGTGTGCTTGCTACTGGTGCTCCAAACCTAACCACAAACTTAAGGGCATTTTCTCTCTAAATGCTAACCACCAGTGACTTAAAAAAGGGTGTAAATTAAATGTGATCACACAGAATGCCATTTGTGAGAGCGTGAAAGTGGGGGACAAAGGTGTGAAGTGAATAAAAAGGATTCTGATAATAGCCACTACACAACCACAGACGTACAAACGTGTGCCATTGGTGTGCTAAGTGTCAGTGTGCTGCAGTGTTAATTGAGGTAGTGAGTGACTTTCCACTGAGCAGCCAGTGAGGCACAACACTGGTCACCAGCAAAGTCGAGTGCACACTGGCTACCAGCATGGTACAGCACTGGGCACTCGCTCGGTGCTAGCTCCACAGGCTAGTAGTGGCAGAGTTAGACCCGCTAGTTTGTTACAATGCAGGCCAGTATTAGACTAGCAGTTAAATATAGACTAGAGATAGACTCATATCGATATTTGCACAGCGGCCTTAAAACTTCCAGAGGCTGATATTTTGCCAAACAGATGAGCATAACATTTTATTTGAATACTTTAATGCCAAGAGGACAATGCACACAAAATGTGACTACACTGTTCTCTTAACCAGTTTGTATTAAAACAGATTTGTGGATGAGTTTGAGTTGAGCTTATCGCAAGAAAAAGCCCATATTGCATTGTTTCCCAAAGACTGGGTCATGACCCTCAGGTGGGTCGCAAGAGATTTTTTTTTGGGTCGCCTGATATACGCCTGATCTGCTGCTGCACTCTCCTCCTGCACCCCGGACTGGAACTCTCTATAAAAATGCAGACAGACCCACCTGTCTCATTAGAAATGTTGACATGTTTTGAATAATTTCTCATCTTTTTATAATTATTTTATTGATTATTTTGTTCCAATATTGCTGGTTCTATTTAATGCTGAGAAGAAAAAGAAATTGGCTACCTTTAATATCCAAATAAGGGACTTATGGATAGGTTTTATTGCTGGTTCAATTACTGTTTTTCATTGTTTAAAACTTCAGTAATATGAATTCTTCAGAAAGACACAATCACTCAGTCAACAATAAAATATCCTCATTAATGTTCAGTAATAGTCAAATCCACCTTTATTTTGTGATTTACAAATAATGTCTATTGACTTGATGAAGGTTTGTGACTTTTAATATATGGGTCCCCAGAAAACAAGTTTGGGAAACATTGCCATATTGGACAATCTCTAATATAGAGATGAGATCTCCTGTGCTAGGTAGTGTATTTATGAGGATCCATAGGTTTCAACGAGATAAACTTTTAAGCCATAGCACTTCACAATTAAAACTAAATATTATATGTTCTGATCTCAAGTCCTCAAAATAGCCTACAAACAGGAAACTGAAACACATGAATGAAAACAGGAAATATGTTTTATTGACACCAATCTTTTGCATTTTTTTATTGCTACTTATTTAGAAGTTCATTACCATTTATTAAATATATTTTTTACTCTGTGTAAATATTGTAATATAATGTGATGTGTGAGCTACTGTGTCCAAGTAATTATCTCTTGTGAATCAGTAAAATCTAAGTCTAAGTCTCTAGTACTTAACATGCTATACTCAATGAAATTATATGGAGATCAAGTATAACTCAGTTCAAAGAACTTATGCTGTCCACTCGCTCTGACCTATTATGTCAAATAGGAGGGGTCTATTGCCATTTATAATGCTTTGAATTTCAATACAATGAATCAGAGACTGGTATCATTGTAACTAACTGAACCAATATTTGTTCTGCACTAATAATTAAAGTACAGTGACCAAATATGAACTAATATTTGTATAGAAATATAAAAGAGCTTTGTCCCTTCTCTTGTTAAATAAGAGAATTATTGGGTAGAATATCAAATACAGGAGAGGCATTGGACTGCTGGACTGGCACTGGTCACTGTGCATGTTTCAGCCTGGTGTGGATGGCCCAGCTGTGGTGCCTACCTCCTTCTGGTCCAGCTGGAGGGAGGACTTGATCAGATCTCGCAGGGCAGTCAGCTGCTTCTTCTCCTCATCCTGAGTTTGTTTAATCTGCAAATGACATAGACACACATATATGAATCAATAATATCATTATAATAAGAAGGGTTCATTATATTAAGACTTGAGCACATTATTCCGCATCAAAATATCTGCAGTCCTCCTGTTCAGATTTCAGCTCTCGACTCCTAGAGAAAGAGCTGTCGATTTTGCATCCTTTTTTACACTAACAGCCAATTACTGAGTTGTGACACAGTGCCATTCAGTGATAAACAGCCACTGTACTCAAAACAAATCAAAGGCATATTCTCACATACACACAGGCACGCACACACACAAACTCACACACACTGGATAGCTGCCTATTAACGCCATTTTAACAACCCACTATGGACCAAAATCCTATTATATGAATGTTTTAGAAATAGAATATTTTCTTCTAGGCATGAAAAATAAACCTATGGTATGTTTTGCGTGATTGGAATAATGCATTTAAATGGCCAGACATAGAGTAAATAAGCAGATAGAGGATAATGAGGTCTATAATACTTTGAGCACATTGGAAAACAAAAGCACAGGGTCTTACATTATAGAGATCAGCTGCCAGCTTCTCAATGTACTGCTTCAGCTTATCTGCAGTCTTCAAGCCATCTTGGAAGAAACTGGAGGGAAACATAACATGATCACCAATGGGACAAACATAGTAACAAATAAGTCATCAGTAATAGGATCTAGAAGAAGATTTGCTAGTGTTTATGTTGAATGTAAAGCTGGACTCGGGTCAGTGCTGTGGGCTCATGGCACTGGCTCTGCTGCTGTCCTGGTCTGCAGTGGATTTGCAGAGGTGCCGTGGACATCCTGAAATCCATTACAGATCTGTCAGCGGTCCACACCTCGCGCCGCTCTGTGGCCGCAAATCACCGCTAATGACCTCTGTGTCCAATACGTTTCTTCTGCCTCTTGGAACGCACAACATCCTCTGTGTGTGCTCTGTTACAGCACTGCAGCACCCAGCTTCACACTATAAGCAGCTCCATTCAAGTACTATGAAGTAATAAGCAGCCTTGGTTTGTCAAAAAGTGCACAATGGTAAATATTTTCTATTCATGGGTTTTTATGTTATATGCAACATTAAGACGACTTTATTGACATTCAAAAGAACTATGTTGTTTTAAAGTGTTAATCCCTATGGTCCTATTTTTTCTTCATTCTGAAACCTACAGATAGGAAGGGAAATAGTTCATTCTTGAAAACATCTTTACTTCATTATGCATATGTATTTACAATAACTGCAGAAGTGTAATGAGGCCCATGAATCATTACAATAGACCTTTACAAAAATGTAAGCAGATATGTATCCCACTACAACTACTCTATCCATCAAAGAGCATACAGAACAGATTTGGAGAAAACTTCATTGTTTTGTTCCATGTTATGACAAGACCTAGCAACACCAAAAGAAAATGTGTCATTCTGTCGCAGGCCAATGCTGTGGTCCTGCCTCAGAGAGCGGCCACTTATTTAAGCACCAAAGCCCACAGCTGTCACAACATCTCTGTATGAGGAACACTGCATATTTATGAGCCCTATATGGTCACTTAAAGTTTAAACTAATGTGCTGAGGAAGGCTATTCAAACAACAAGGGACATGTTAACACAGTGTGGTTGTTGCATCATCTCATTAATGAGTATTCAGTGTGTTAAAGGCGCTGTACCTGATTTTTACTGTCTTAAAAATGAGAAAAACAGAACTAGGTCATTTTAAAACAGTTTGCAGTGGTCCAAAAGTTATTCCTCACTTCCTTAATGCATTCTGAGCATTCTAATTATTCACTGTGATGAGTTCATGGGAGCTTTTCACAACTCTCAGAGTCCCATGATGATAAAGCTGACAATAACTAGCATGCTAACAGGCACTTCCTGATTATCATATAATAAAATGCTTTCTAATTAGGTGGACAGTACACAGTGGACTTGACTTCAAGAGCTGCTTGTATTGCTGCTTGTACTTGTACACATGAAAAAAAAAAAAATCAGGTACAGGCCATCTGAGGCAATACACACTGAAATGTTACTTCAAGTACAAATCCCACTGGCCACTGCATTAAATTATCACATTATTTTAGTTTAATTTATAGTAATATAAGCCATATTTGTGTTCATTATGGTGTTCTCTGCAAGTGTACTCTATTGGTTAAAATCAACACCTGTTGGTTGTTTTTGGTTTGGTTTTTGATTTTGGCAAATTCAGTGGAACAGTTTTAACTCATTAGTTCAGTTGCAGCACAATATAACATCTCCCATACGCCATAAAGATATTCAGGACTTTTCAGACTGTTAGAAAGATTGGCGTTGTGAAGTAAAGTTTAAATATAACTGCTTAAACCTCAAGATTAAAATGGTACTTACTTGCACTGTGCGTGGTAATACTTTATCAGGTTCTGAAGGAGGTCCACTCCTTTCTTTGTCTTGATCTCATTCACTTTGATCAGGTACTGCAAGTAGAACACAGGTACAAAGTGCAAATGTAAGCAGGGAGTCGGGGCCAGGATCCTGCATGTAATGAGGCAAAACGTGACTCAAGCTCAACCCTATGTAAAATAAAGAGCGTGTTTTGGAGCTAAATGATATTCATGCCTTTGATGTTTGAGCCAATACTGCTTGAAACGTGGAGTAGAGAGCGCCAGATGGGTAAGCACAGTGGAAGAGCCGCAAAGAGGAAGAAAGTATCAACTCACTGCCTTGATCTAAATAAGGTTTCCAAGGGGCAATGAGACAGGTTTCACATTTGCATCATAAAAAGGGATAGCCTCTGGCAGAAGTGTCGAAGATGTCTGCTTTTTAATGTCTAAAGATGTCTAAAAAATCTGAGGATTAGATTAGATCAGTTTAGCTAATCTTAAAGTGATAGCCACTAATATTCATAAAAATAAAAAAAAACACAAAAAGTCAGCATGAACTATTTTAACATTTAAATTAGATTTGCAATAAATGTTTAAATAATAAGATTCTTTTCAAAGTTCTAAACTGCCGGGTTAGCAGTTTTTGTGCAGAATAAGTTGTTTGTAGAGGAAATTAAGGTACTTTAAAATTACAGCCTCCGAGATTTGCTAATTGCATCCACTTAAATTGCGATTTCGATTTGATTGAGATTAATCATGCAGCCCTGATATCGACACAGATCGATAATGTTTATGAAGTTTAAGAAAAATCCACAATGTCAAACAATCCACAATCATTTTTTTGTTTCTCTTAGCTTGACAGTTGTTTTCCAGTACAAATGAATGAACGCCTGCACATGCACACTGCCTGCCTCTGCTGCCCTTTGTCTAACAAACACATGAGCTGATCCAGATTTTGTCTGTGCTGTGAAACTCTGCAGCCTCATGTGCACGGTCAGACTCTTTTGTGTGTGAATGAGCAGCAGTCTGTGTGGAGCATAAACAGCCTGCTGAGCCCTGCCTCTCCACACCCCCACACACCCCCCAGCACCGGGACAAGCTGGTGAGGGGCAAGAGAATGCCCTGTAATCTGGTGATTGAGTAACGCGGGCAAAGCGGCAGGGCCAGAGCACGCAATGCACAGAAATGAGGTTAAGTGGGATGAGCAGATTGAACCACTGACTATAGCAACTGTAATACTGCACAAACATAACTCTGGAAATTATCAATTTGATGGGTCAATAATTTTAGAGATGATAGTTAGCTCAAATGTAACTAATTAAAACCAGGGTTATCAAAAGTATTGAAAATTCAGATACCAATCTATATTAAAACTAGTATAGATCTAACAAACATATTCATCTGAACAAATATCAAAACTAGAAAGGTCATGTTCACAGGAAGAAATGAACCTTTCTTGAACAGTGAATGATCTTGAGCTACTGAGCTGTATTAGTAGAAGACCACATAGACTAGTATATACCCATGGACCACTGCGGAACATACCTGTATAACTGAGGTAATCCCTCAGTTATACAGATACATATACATACTAGATAACGCCACATGGAGATATAAAAGGTAATATAAAAGAAAGTACTATTATTTATTAAAAGTTTTTTATTATCATCTATATCAGTATCAAGTCTTTTCCTTTGTATCAAAATCAAGTTTTACATTTTTGTATTGTGACAACACTAACTGAAACAAATTCACATCATAGCCTCAGTGTAAGGTGGTGAAATATGATATACAACATTAAAGCAGGGGTATTTTTCTTCTATGGGGTATACTCCTAATACAGAACATTTAGATTATGATGTTACCTTTTGTTTTTTTGAAAACACTACATTCACCCAAAACAATATATTAACATGTTTAATAAGTTTCACTTTTTTGATGCTCTGAGTGTCCCCGGTGCTCCCTGTGCAAAGTCACTCCTCCTTCAGAGCGCTATCACAACACAGTCAGCGTGCATCTAACCAATGAAACCACTGCACCTCACATTAGATTTGTCAAGGTGTTGTGTACAGTTTTGTAGCATGCTTTTATACATTTATGGAGAACTGTTGTGTGGGAGCATGGATGATGTAGGCTTGTGGGCAGAGCATTGGACAGAATCTAACAGTAACCATAAGGAGGGTTCAAGGGTTCAAATAGGGCCCAGGAAAGATTGCCAAATCTTGCCTCTCTAGGCATGTTTTTGATGAGGGAACAACATTATAACATGGCAGAAAAATAAAAGAAAAAAAAAGTTTTTGCATCATACCCTCTCTTCAACAAGTTTAAATTACAATTTAAGAACGCACGGCCAATTCACAGTTTTATATATATATATATAAAGTTAATATGACTGAATAAGTGAATCAACATTCTACAAATTACTTCCTTAAAAAATGTATAAACCAAAACTGAAACAGATGTCGAAAATATGTGTGGGCTGAGTATTGATGCAACATAAAATCCATTGTTTGCTAACACATTTTAAATATGATAGCAGTGTGATTCAATCACTCAATAAAGCAGCAGCTGAGAGATCTTGTATATGCTTTCAAATGGCATTATTTTTGGCTTGGGCTTGGACATTCACTTGTGGCTTTTATCAGCCATATAGCAAGTCATTGGACTTGTCATAACGGGGAGATCGTAATGCTTCTCTGGCCTGACCACAAATGCATCTACGCATACAATGAGCCTGGTTTAGTTACAAAACCACAATAGCCTTTTGTTCAAATGTTTCATTCTAGAACAGCAGCTACAGGCCAACGACTGAGAGTCACGCTTCAAGTCAAAGTCTAAATATCAAATGTAAGAGTTTAAGCGTGTTATGATCCCAAAATTAAAGATCCAATCAGAAAGGCTACTCAGTCAGCCAGTAAAATGCTGATTAGTTGAGTACAGTACAAATGTAGTAGTAAATATTTCATACAAGTACTAGCCATTGGCCCATTATGTAATTGGAGTATTCAAAATCCTAGCAAGATAAAGCGTGGACATGAGTAGGCGGCACCACCCACCACTAGAGAGGTTTTCTGGCAAAGAGGAGTACGAACTAACATTTTGTGAAGAATCTTTTGAGCGTAAGAAAGATGGAAAGTGAAATTTCTTTAATGCAGTATTATTACTGCTGAATTTCACCATATTAAAGTTCATTTTATGCATTTGAATCTCCCTGTGTTATTTTGTATTTGCGTGTTTAATATACAAGAGTACAACGCTAGTACAATCACCATCTTCAAAGTAGGAACAGAGCATGCACCACCCACACACTGCCGCAAGTCTCACATGTACGCGGTAAATTATTAAAATAATCTGAGAGGAGCTCTACCAAAGGAGGGGATTTTTAGCTAATACATATTTAAATGACGATCATTGTTCAGAAGATATATTATAATCCTTAAGGGCCTTTGAGAGGGATAGGTCCAGGCAAATTTCCACTGAGTTAATATTTGAGTTGTGAATATAGAGACAAAGGAAGATTAAGAGAGAGTACAGCAAAAAAGTGTCATAAAATATTTTCAACACTAAGATTTACTACAGGCCTTGCACACTCTTTACTGTGTGCTACAGTTATTACTGTGAGTATTGGAATAAAACAAAGAAATTAAAAGAAAGTGTTGTGCAGTTTAATAGCTTTTGACAATACTTCTATTTATTGTTAGGCTATAGTTTCTGAATTGTAAGTATGAGTTCTTGGTAGGGATGGGCATGATTAGTCATCTAATCGATAACTGATCATTAAGAATTTCGTCGATTACCTTCATTTTTAATCTACAAACCAAATGTAGGTTGCTGTGCGTAGCATAAGGGGACGAGGCTGAGTCTGACAGAGCAAACACTGGAGATGTTTCGGCTGTGGAGATCACTGTACCACTCAATGAGTGTGTTTACATGCACATCAATATCCCGGTTTCGTCATGGTGCATGTAAACGCAGTATCCCGGTTACTGCAACATAAAGAGACTTTTTCGAGGATTCACGTGGTTTGGAAGGATGTAGTCAAGGCAGGGGGCACTTGTTGTCAAGGTGGCCGCTTTAACTATGAAGTGCTGCGGGAAACACTGATATCTATATATATATAGATCTATATATCTATAGTGATTTGCAACATGAGGGACCAGGACTAAATCAGGACTGAACCAGGACTAAAACAGGACTAAAACAGGTTTAACCCAGGACTAAACCAGAACTAAACCAGGGTGTTGGGACAGGCCCGGAGGTGTGCCCGCGTAGACGTGAGTGACCGTAGGCTGGCGCAGAGTTCCACACCCCACGGGGCTCAAGGCAGCCATTGACCGATCACGCTTTGTGGACACCCTGCTCCGCAGACTTGGGGTTCTCTCTCTCACTCTCTCTCTCATGTCCAAGATTAGTCTGGGTTTAGTCCTGGTTTAGACCTGGTTTAGACTTGGTTTAGACATGGTTCAGTCCTGCTTCAGTCCTACTTCAGTCCTCCTGGTTCAGTCAGGAATCGCATGCCCCCACTTAAAAAATCCCCACTACACCACTGACAATTAATAATAGTAATACATAGTAGTAATAATAATTTCAATTCGTGTAGCCCACTACTTACAGATGCAGTTTGCTGCTTTGGCTGGTGTGCTCTCTGACTATCCAATCAACAGGTCTGAATATGGTGACGTTGCCGTACGTCTGCTAGAAGGCCTTGGCGACACCAACTCAAAATCTGATTGGTTGAAGCAACAGTTTCACTGACATTTATTTTGTGCTCGAAGGAATGTATTGTGAAGGCCTCAGGCAGACTTCTTTGACTTTGACCCTGCCTGGCAACAAATGATGGTTGAAATGTGATTGGTCAAATGCTTTAATATGAAAATGCATGTCTGGAAGCAGCACAACCATCGGAAAAGCTATGAAAGAGCTGTTTTGTTTTTTTTTTTATGCAAATGAGCTATATGGTTTTAAGTTTTGTTTCTGTCAACACATTATAATGTAATGTATAATTGGCTGATGTGGCTCTATAGTGGTTATGGTTTATATGTTGCAAAGTTTAGTTTATTTATGCAGATTAGTAATAATAATAATGATACTTTTAATATAAAAACCTTAATGATTAATTCAAAATCAAAATTATTCTCCCGACGATCGATTAAGAAAATTTTATCAAATGCCCATCCCTAGTTCTTGGTGTGAGCTCTACTCTTAGCATAAAAACTAATGATAATTATCTTGCAAAGTATATTCTTAACTAGAAACTATTTTCAGAATAGAATGCTTATGGGGGTTATGTCAACCTGTGAAGATAAACAAAAAAGACAAACATTGCCACTCCAACTGCCTCAAGATGAACAAACTTGGAACGTTCTTAAATTTGCTACATACTTTTCAAACAGTGTATTTTTCCTATATTTACGGTTATGGATTTTTTTCAGTGATACTTAATAAAATAAATCTGTTATTGTTATACATTCATGTGTGCGGACAGTTTTGGTGTCTGTTATGATATTCCATACCTCACACATTTGGAGCTGGAAGAGGCGCCTCTCCTTCTCCATCTCCTCTGCGATCTCTGCTCCAGTGATCTCCGTGCGGATCATCCCGTGTTGTTTGGCATGCTCTCGTTTCTCCTTCTCAATCTTTGTACTAGTATCAGAGAGAAGATAACAATAACAAAAACAGGTATATGACAGGTTAGAAACAAAAACATTTCACTAAAAATCTTGCCTAGTTTTTTCTATTCTTTTTTTTTGTTACCAACAACCGTACTGTAAACAAGGGCCCAAACTAGTCTAATTTACACAATAGATATGATTAGATTAATGAAAGTAAATTGAATCATCTTCCTCTTGTTAAGTTTGAACTACCAGACAAAAGCCTTCCTTGCGCATAAACTGTGCCTGCATTTTGTAAGGAATTTTCAGTATTGAGGACATAGGTAATCTGTTTTAGAACTCACCACTACTTCCTGTATTTAGTATTTTTTTGTACTTTTCTTCTCAACTTTTTCCCAAAAACTGTCACTCCATTGATGTAAAATTACGATAAATATTTACCACTGGTACAATCCCACAAAACCAAGTAATAATTACAAAAACATGAAAACCTGTCACATCCACTTCAATATCAAGCTACTTTTTGCTAACATTTTCATATTAGTTTCATTAAAAGCAATCACAGGTGCTTTCAAATTTTCCGCATTCATCCCAAATTACCCATTTGACAAATTGCAGAGGCAGGTGCTCATGGAGTATGATTACCCAGATTGTGTAAATAAACAGAATAAAGTTGAAAACGGCTGACAACTTACAACTTGGCTTCATAATCCTTCCAGGCTTTGTCAAAGGGCTTCTTTATATCCTGCGGAGAGACGGAGAGGGCGGACATCAGCACAGGGCTACGCAGGGGTCAAAGCGGGGACGGATGGGGAGCTATTTGCGGAGTTGGAATCGGACCAGCGAATGCCTCACTCCTCTCACACAATTTACATTCTACTATGGGACAAGCCCAAGAAGCCACGCCCACTTTGAACTGTGAGCGGCTGCAAGTTCACGACCCAGTTATTCAGAGCCCTCTCCTCTAGCACAACACAAAGACAACGTTTATGCGGGCAAGATTTACAGTTGCTTTGTAAAGTACGTGAAAAGAGATCGTAAGGGGAGATTGCTGACAGGGCATCTTTACAGGCCTGCTCTGAGCGCTTTAATCTGCACATTAAGGGTAGAATGAAAGTGGTGTATATTTTACCCCTTTCACGCCTTTCAAGTCACCCTTCAGCAGCGAGTCCAAGGTGAAGATCACATTGTGGCTCAGGCTCTGGAGCTAAAAAGAAAAAGTACAGAATTAGTTAAAGTTTTAGGTCAGGCCAAAAAAACAATCATGTTAAAAGCAACTATAGTTAAATAACAGTTGAATAATGAGTCAAGTTTTGACCAACATATCAGGCCAGGCAGTTAGAACAGATGCATTTTTAATAGAGAAATCGTAATGGTCTATCATAGTTATCCATTTTTCACTCACTTCAACTCATCTGAATGTAAAATACCATCTATTTTTTTTTAAATCATTGCTCCTCTAAAGACTACTTTTATATTTAGTTTGTAATTATCCATGGGTTTCAGAGTGAAGAAAAATTAGGACCATTGCCATAGTGACTAACAATTTATATATTTGAACAGGGCAAAAGTCTCAAAATGTTGCAAATAACAGGAAGCTAAAATACCTGAACAGGTCTTGACCATAGAACCAGTGTTGCTATGACACTTTTTAATGTTATTACCTCTTCAAAAACATACTTAGAGTTGTTTTTTTTTTCATTCACATATTTGAGTAGTTCTTTATTATTAGTCTGTCCATATTTCTAAAGCTCAAAATGCTCATGTTGTGGTAGTTTTCAAGTTAACAGCTGTCTTTCACCTTTACTTCAGTAGATATTGGCAATTCTAGGGCTGAAATCATCCAGCTGACTCTAGTGAAGGTGTATGGAGTTTAAAACATTGTGGAGCACTTCCTGTACTACCACATGATATCACAAGGTGGAACAGTGTGTGAACAGTGAGTGTTTTCTGTCTGAGAGAAGAGCTCAGCCTAAATGTGCAGGTTGTGTGTTAAGCACGTTTGTGATGAGGAAACAACATTATAACGGATCAGAAAATACCGCAATATGGGTCCTTTAAGTCTGAAATATTTAGGTGCTAGTAGTTTACAATCCAGACATTTTATCAGTCTATATTACTGTTCAGTTACTAGCAAGTATTTATTTATATATTTTTCTGGGGAAATATTTTGAAGTCTACAGTCTGGATTTAGAATTATGGAGGAAAATACACAATTTGAGCATATCTTATTAAAGGCTCCCAGCGGGTTACGCAAACTGACTAGCAAACTGCTGAGACTGAGTTCATTTAAGAATTAGCTCTTCAGCCAGTGTCTTGTGTTACCCGAGCTTCACTCCGCTCAGCAGCCCTAACCATCGGGATCAGCAAGGTCACATTTACAACAACACTAAGCATTTAAGTCCCTCTCGTTTTTAGCCAAGTCCACACACACACACACAGACACACACACTCTTACACAAAGACACACACACATACTGCAGTGGTCAGGGAAGTAAACAACACTTAATGGGTGCTAATGGTGGTCTTAAGTGCCTGTCTTGCATATGCCCCACGTCAGGATCAATCTTGTACTGGCCGACTGCCGATGCACCCTAACAGACCATTCTGCAGAGTGGAGAGCATCACTGTCTATGGCTCTATTCTTGTTAAAAAGCAAGAGTCTGTACTATAAATATGAAGTGGTCATAGTATAGTAGTGTTTTTGTTGTTGTTGTTGTTGTTTTTGTTTTGATGGTATGTCTTCCAGGTTAAGATTATTTAGGTCATAACTTAAATCAAGAGCAACTGAAACTGCTAATCTTATATGTATTAGTAATGCTTTGTAATGTATTTGTTTTTGTAAGCTATTGGTATGTTTGACAAATGACTTCATCCATGTTTTAAAGGTAAAACAAAAATTTGATTAATAAAAAAAAAGTACATCACCCCATTTTGTTTGATTGCGATTATTACAATTCGAATAGTCAAACAGCCTTACTCTCTGTGCTATACATTTTGACACATGAAAACAGTATTTCCCCCATATTTTTTTATCATGTTTGCATTTTGATCCTAACACATTATCATTATCATAATTTAGATATGGCAGATATACTGAAACAAGGATAATATTACAATTGTTGATTCGAAGATATGCAAAATTTGAACATCAAGTAGCCTATAATGTCTAATAATAAACACTAAAATTGGAGGACTGGGAGATTACACAGATCTTGTGAAAATGGTTAACTATTACTAGTATTTTTGTGCATCATTTGAACCTCAGCCACATGATTTACGCTGTATATTATTGTATCAATCCTAAACCTGTCACGATAATTACTATATAAACTTATTGTTCAATATATGAAAGCTGCAATCATATTTATTGTGTGTACAATTTCTTTGCAATAATGAGGAGGTTTAAGCAATTTTTAAGTAATAATGTAAAATTTGAGCTGTAGAGGACTGAATAAATAACTATGGCTAGTTATTGGTTAATTCCGCTATTTATTTATTGCAGTTCATTGCATGTCTTTTAATGATACTGCATATTTAAAAATAGTTTACTTTGATACTCCATCTTTATTGTTACTACATCAGTGGCATAAATTAGTTTCAGTATTATCATTTATCGTCTATATTTTCTTACTTACCACTTACTAAAGTACTTCAAAATTTGTTATTGTGACAGGCCTACTAAATACTCTCATTAGGATTTTTTTAATGTCTATTTCGTCCATCCACTGTCTTGGTAGAGGTTTGCACATGCTATAGTTGAAAAATTTGGACCTGCTATAGTTGAAAAATGTGCACATGCTATCGATTCAAATAACTCTGTAAAAATGAGGAAGGACCATTTCACTTTGCCATAATACGCAGGTAGAGAAGACAGGTTGGCAATTTAGAGCAGTTTGTGAATGGACACAAGGATTACATACTCAGAGCCCTGCCAAGTGCGTATTTATGGAGTCTAATCTGGTTGTCAGCGACGCGGGAAGAAAACAGAGAGAGAGGCTGACTCATCTCCCGAGTCCCAACAACAATCACTCACAAAAAGACTCAAGCAGGACACATTATTCACCAGAAATGTCAGGGGGGGGAAACCAGCGCGGTCAGATAAGGGGCTTCATCTGGAGAAAAATACGTCGCTGGGAGCTGGATAAAGGCGTTGTCAGCGTGAGTGTCAAATATGATGTCTGCGTAGGACATTTTTATAAAGCTACGTAAGAAAAGCGATCACACAGAAATGCCAGTATATGCAATAGTGGGCGTTTATAAACCTGGTGTAACTTTTCTTGTTAGTTACCTTCTGACCCTCTCCGTATGCTGCAGGGACTCAAGTCAGCACTACTTCACACAACTAATCTCAGTCTTAACCTTAAACCCAAATCCTAAACCACTTAAAGAGGTAAAGAGAAGGAAAAGGAAGAGCTCTTTACTCTTCTGTTTTTACCACAGATGAGTAGGCATACAGTATCAGGATATGGGGGTTTGGGGTATGCAGGTTTGAATGCATGCATTTTATTATGAACCGAGAAATATTCAACAGATTTCAAAATATCTTACTTCCTCTATAACGCAAAATTGACTCTTGTGAAATTTAAGCTATGTTAGAATGTTGTTACCTCATTAAAAACATACCTGGAGTTGTGTTTTGTTTCATTAACCATTTATTATTACAATGTCTACATCTTCAAAAGCTCAAAATGCTCTGTTCCACCTTGTGATGTCATGTAGTGGTAGTCTTCAAGTTAACAGCTACATTTTACTTTTAGTTCAGTAGAGGTTATTCTAGTGAAGGTGTATGGAGTTTAAAAACATAGAGGAGCCCTTCCTGTATTACCACATGACATCACAAGGTGGTAGTGGAGTGTCTTCTGTGTGAGAGAAGAACTAGTCTAAATATGCAGGATCTGTGTGTTAAACATGTGTGAATAACAAAACACAAATGTTGAATAGTACTAGACAACAATTTATTGTAGTACTTGAATTTAAAAGGAAAAGAAAATTGGAAACATGAACTTTACTTTGTTTCTCTAGATTTGTACATGATTACAAGAATGGTTAATATATCAAAGCTAAAAGTGGTATTCTTTTTTCCACAGATTTTGAAGAGCTATGAAGCTAAAGAGATAACTACATGAAAACAAAACACATTTAAAAAAAGAAAAGTTTATATGAGAACTTTATACTTCAATTTATAGGCCTAGTTATGCAATTTTAAAACATTAACATTATTATTGTTCTACTATTAATAAACATTAAAGATGCACTATGTAGCTTTTTGTTGGGAGTCCATCCTTGCTTGTCTCTGTGGATATGTCATTGCTCTGCCTGGAATGTTTCTTCCTACTTTTTCTTCTTTCTTGTTACTGTTTACTTTGTATGTTCATAAACGATAAACTTAAGTGCCTTCTTCATCACTATTATTAGTTTGTACAACCATAATGAACACAAAAATCCTCAAATTTTACATTATGTTGTTTATTTTTGTATGATCATGGACGATAAACTTCTTTTTAATTATTGTTAGTTTGTACGACCATAAACGAAGATACAGTTCTGCGTGTATGTATAATATATATGACAGATGTATATGTATGTATGTATGTATGTACATGTGAGCATACATGTGTACCTGCGTGTATGTGTGTGTGTATACATATATATGCATTTGTATACATATATGTTTGTGTGTATATTTATGAAATGCATAAGACAGGTAAGCACTCCAAAGGTGAAAAAAAAAAGTGTCAACCATTTGATTATGTAAAACAATTGGGGTAGGACATTATAAGTTTTTATTTTTTTTAACTTCATCCTACTCCTTTTGAACACCAGGTCCAAATATGTACATGTACATATCCTTGTTTTTGTTTGTTTGTTCATTTGTTTGTTTGTTTTTTGTTGTTAGTGTTGTTGATTTTGTTTTAAATTTAAATGTTCCACAGTGTGACATTAAACAGCTCTACCTTATATTCATTAAATTACAGGTGGATTTAAAGTTAAAAAAAACCTAGAAAAACAGGTATTCTGACTGAGTGGGGTTGCCTCTCCACAGATCTGACCTGTAACTTGATTTGGTTTGGTCTCCATGAAGACAGAAATGTTTAATGCCATACTGTGAAACTTTCCAGACAAAGCAAGAACATCTCCATGGAGAAAAGCATTTGAAGGAACCTCCACCAGAAAAGTTACACAATGCATCTTTAAGCCATATCAGCAAATATTGTTTTTTCACCTGAGCAACAAGGCAAATTTTGAATACTGGAATCAGCTTTAAAAAAACCCTCATCAGACAACTCTAAACTATTATGTTCAAAATTTAATTTCACTTAAATTTTTTCATAGTTATATTTTTCCTAGGTGAACTGTCAGCCATTTGTACTCCTGTCTTTTATGCCAAATGACAGTCAGTAAAAGCCAATATTAAAATAGAACAGAAATTATACACTGCCAGGCCAAAACGTCACCACCTGGATTTAGGATAGGCCCATGGCCACAAGTGTAAAAATGATGTCTCATGCTCCCTTGACCACTCTTTCACAGTCTGAACCTCACTGGCATTACCATCTTGGAATATACTTGTGCCATCTGTGCCACCAGGGGAGAGGTGATGGAATAACCCGGTTGTTCAGTAGATTCAGGTAGTCAGCTGACCTCATTCTTTGGGCACATAACATTGCTGAATTTGCAGTTATTATTAAAAGGTTCTATTTTACATAAAATTGACTCTTGTGAGCTTTAAAAGGACAGTCCGGAATTTTGGACATAGAACCTCATTTCCTAGTGAGTGCATGTCAATGGCCATAGTTAGCCTGCCACTAAAAACAGTTTTACCCACTCCACAAAGCACCCGAGACAAAACAATTACAACGCCAGACTGTTGATGTGAATGTCTGTGTTGATAGATTAATTTTAGAAGTAAATCCAACCTTGCAATTGAAGGATTTATGTCTGAGTAGCAGCAGCGAGTTGTACTTCCTGATAGAAAGCTTGGCAGAGGCGGATTGATGTATGAGAAAATAGTCCCTCAACATACGATGAATCATGTGATGTAAGGTTAGTTTTATTTCAAACATTATTTTATCAACACAGACATTTACATCAATAGACTGGCATAATAATAGATTTTCTTCTGGTGTTTTGTGGAGTGGGTAAGACCAGAGCTAAAATCATTAAAATACTTCTGGTGAAGGTGTACTGAGTTTAGAAACACAGTGGAGCACTTCCTGTATTACCACATGACATCACAAGGTGGAATAGAGGGTTTTCTGTTTGAGAGAAGAACTCTTAAGTATGAAGGATTTTTGTGTTAAACGTGTGAATGAAACCAAACACAACTCCGGGTATGTTTTTGATAAGGAAACAGCATTACAACATAGATTAAAAATGAGCTTTGATAATAGTCCTTTAAAGCGATTGCCTCGAGTTAAAGCCAGCTGGTGACTTTGTGTAGAAATGCAGAGTTGAGTCAAGTTTGCGTTCACTCACCAGGTTCTTCAGTAGGGCAGACAGCTCCTTGGTGAGAGAGGAGAATTTCACAAAGGCCGTGCCCAGGTCAGGGTTGTCACGGCTGATGAAATTGCTGCCAAATTTGTCCAGAGCTTGGGCGTAGTTTTCTTCATTTTGGACGTGATCTGAAAAAAAAAACCACAACAGTAGAAAGTTTAACGGAGGTATGGTCACCTAAAAATAATATCATGGAGCAGTGAATTCAATTTGACCCAGTCCTGTCCCAGCAGACTGAGGTAAGAGCAGCTCTGTCCCTCAGGTGTTTGTGCTCCGTGTATTTGGGACACACTAAAGTGCAGATGGAACTAATGCAAAAAACAATGGATGCAAAGTGACTCATCATATTTTGCTTTAATTAGCAGCTAACCAAGAATTAATAACTTAGGGACTGATTCTTTTGAGACATCATCTGACATGTTGATCATCTGACCAATTACCTTTCAGAGGTTTGCATTGTAATTAGATGGATCAATTTATTAGGCCGATTTTTGCACTTTTTTGGTCAACCTGCTCCCTAAAGAATATGCGTGCAAAAGCTTTATTACACTTTAGTGCGTTAGCCTTAAATATCGCAAAAATATCATCAGATCTTATCATTTTCTCTGAATTCCAACTAATCAGTATAGGCATCGGCCACAAAAAAAACGTCACAAAAAAAAAAAAAATCATTGGTTGATCTCCAAATGGTAATTTTATTTTTGCCAGTAGGTTATATGTTTGTATCAAATATAGGACTAATAGTTCTAATACTCAATTTTTAACACTAATAATTTTTGTCTGGATAGAAGAATCACCAGTCTTACTATAACAGGTTTTGTTGAAAGATTTTATCTTTCATTTACGTATTCCCTGGGTCTATGAAAGTCAGTACAAAGAGTGAACTTCCGCCTGTCTATGTCATTAAGTCAGTGGTACTAGAGCTCTGAGGATATGAATCTGTAATGTTGCCAAAACAACAAGACAGGTCAAGAGAGGGTCAGATGAAACAAGCAGAGCGTGTGCGTGCACCTTTCTATGTGTGATTTAGTCAAAGAAGATTACATTTTGATGACAAGGCTCAAATTTACAAAATATTAAAAAGTAAACTGAACTCACGATGTACATTATATAAACTATTATGATTTGACTAGACATTTGACTTTTTTCTTTTGTCATTTTTTGTTCAAGGCAGTCATTCCCAAAGTCTGCAGTGCTGCGGCCTCCCTGTTTATCTAAAGATAGTACAGAGTCCCCTAATAATAATGCATGCTCAATTTAATACAATATGTAAGGTTTTCCTACATATAACAGTACATATCATAATATGTATGGGCTTAATGCTGATTTAAAGTAAAATATATATATATATATATAAAAATAGGTAAATAAATCATGTAAAGTTCGTTTCAAACTCAGTTTTCTTTTTTTTTTTTCAATTTTCTTTGGGCTCAAGATACCAAGGAAAATTTATCCTTAAAGAGGGGGTATTTTACTTCTATGAGGTATTAGCTGCTAACACATAACATTTTAGATCACCATGTTACATATTGTATCAACAACATATCAACATGTTTTATAAGTTTCATTTTTGTTTTGGAGGGCTCTGAGTTCCTCCTTCCTTGTATAGAATCTAACTATAAGGAGGTTTCGAGAAGGGCCTGATGGCAAAATGACTCAAACATTTATGGATCACATCTAAAATCTCTTCAGGCATGTTTTTGATGAAAGATATATAAACAAACAAATGAAAAAAAAAAACAAAAAAAAACAATATTGCATAGTACCCATTTAAGTTTGTATACATTTGTTTGGTGTACAGTTACAGCATAAGGCAATTAGGGATGATAAGATTATTTGGTTAATTGATTAATTAATTTCAATTAAATCTACACTATTGATTTTATAATGCTAATCACATAATAATAAAGGAGTGGTCATCTATTAGACAAAGAATGGAGTATATAATGGCATTATAATGCAGTAAATAAAGGTGAATATTGTAAAACTTTTTATCACAATAACCATCCATCCATTTTCTTCCGTTTATCCCACAATAACCATATGATTAAAAAATGTATAAAGTGACATCCCTTAGGCCTATGTTGCTGTACAATGTCCTCTTTAAATGTAATTATTTATCTCAGTAATTAATTGATTTTGCATATTCAATTCTAATGCATAACAAATAGAGCTAAACTTTTGGTGATAAACATCTAAAGCTGTCAGTGTAGAGGCGGGAGGAGGGAGCTTTCAAAACCTGAAAAGAAAATGACTGCAGTTCCCTGTCACAGCAACGAGCAAAACAAACTCAGGTGTTGGATTCTGGGCCGATCTGAACAAACACACAAAAACCATCTGTGGCGCAGAATGCAATGTTCCAAGCTGAGAAAAAAATATGCCCCATTTTTATTAGAGAGGTCTGAATACATCCAAGAGTTCCCTTTGGGTGTCTTTGGGAGTTTACCGTGAACATTTCCTTGGACACTTTCAAATGTGATGAATTTAGAAATTGGCTCTTACCTTGTCCCGAACTGTAGATAGCCTTGACTGATTTCTTCACCTTCTGTAGGGAGGTTCTGTCCTGGTCCAAAGCCTAAAGAAGAAGCAAAAAGCATATGTCAACACTCAATATGAAATAATAATAATACTTTGTGGTGAAAAGTATATTGCTAAAGAGAGCTAATATTTGTCCAGTTATTCAAATTCTGCCCACTCAATAATGCAAATGTGGACAAACTGCTTGCAACACAGGCCTTGACCTGGATGTCTCATAAATCGTTTTCAACACTGGCTAGAGCCGGCGCAAACAAAGCCTGGAAAATAAAGGATGCAATTTTATCACACACACTTGTTATTACTGGAACAATTTAAAGTAGAGCCCGACCGATATATCGGTTGGCCGATATTATCGGCTGATATGGGCAACTTTAGGCATATCGGCTATCGGCCGATATGCTTGCTGATAGGGGCCAATATTTCATGTGGGCATGTTATACCTCGTTTTAAAACTTAGACTCTCTACATTCTGTTCATTTAATCCAATTTACAGACAGATAAATGTCCTAATATGTGGCTCCACATCAGTATTTATCTACGGAGTCATTTGTCTGTGTGTGTCCGTACTGTCCCTGAACACACCACAGAGTCGCGTCACTCACGTGTGTTTGTTTACACCTGCAGACACAGATCCAAACACTGAGATTATATTCTTTTTACGGACAATCGGTTTGAGTCTGGATTAAAAGGACATTTATTAGTACAGATGTGTGATGTGAGGAGGAGCCTGTATGAGCGGTGAGTGTTGGATATATCTGAAGCTAGTTTTTGTCATTTGTTATGGGTTAGCTGCTGTAGCTCCCGCACATAAACAGACTGTTTTCTATTGGTCTGTTCTAAAGTGACTATATTGGCCGTATATTTGTTACTGGACCTGCACTGATATGTAAATGAGCTGTGAATAGACGTGTGAATTATGACATTTGCGCATATAATTAATAACTGCGGCGCGCACGTATTTACGGCTAAAGGCTAATAGCGCTACTTTCTTTACTAGTTATGGGTCCGTCGCGAACGAAATGACTCTTAGAACCGGCTCTTTGAAGGGAACGACGGGAGCCTGATCCTTATTGGGAGCCGTGTTTTCTCTTTTTCTTACTTTTTTTCTCTTCACGCCGCGTGATTCGTGGTTTGACAGCGGCAGCGGCTCAAAACGAAACTTTGAGAAATTTGCGTGTACGTAGGATTAAAAAAAAAAAAAAAAAAAACGAGCATATTTGACTGTAGTTTAGCATAAAATAAATAAGTCCCGGTTTAGTCCTTTTTCAGTCCTGGTTTAGACCTGGTTCAGTCCTGATTCAGTCCTGCTTTAGACGTGCTTTAGTCCTGCTTGCAACAAAACAATCTGAAGAGCCACTTGGGAGCCAAAAGAACCAGCAGCTTTTAGTGAACCGAGCCAAAAGAGCCGGTTCTCTAAAAAGAACTGGAATACCCATCACTAGTGTCTAGAATGTGATGCAAAAATGCCATTAAGCCAACCTACTGTCTGTAAATATGATGTAAAGAGGCAGAATAACAATAAATGTTGCCTAAATAAACCCAATTTAAAATCCACCAGAGCCAAACCTAAGTTTTTTAAACAATTCAACATTTACAGTGAATTTTTACATCACTAAATATATCGGTGATTATATCGGCTATCGGCAGCGCCAACTCCCATTATATCGGTTTCATATCGGCC